TTTTAATAACTGTTAATTCGTTGAAACACAAATAATCAGCAGTCGGAGGCTTTGAAATTAGCTCGTCAAAAATTCCAGTCAGTGGAATCTGAGGCATCGAAGAGCTCAGAGTTATTAAAAGGAAAGCTGAAGAGATTGAAGGAGAAGGTACAGGGAGTCATCGACGAGGCGACCGGTGTTCTGGACAAGGGGAATAGTTCAACATCAAAATTTGATGGAAATAGTGGCCAGAAGTGATTTTATGAATGATTTCTTTCGTATTGCTTTTACTCAACACTTTTAATAATTTATTCCCCAAACTAGGGTGTGGAATTATCGTGAATGGTGGGGACGAAACGCACATGAGGAGAAGGCGTTATACAGCGCTACGTACGACGTCTGAAGGTACTTGACCGCTGTTTTGGTGTCGGCGACATCTTTCTCTTGGGGTGCAGTACTACGATGCCGCTGGGGTCACTCCCACCCCCAGAACTGAGCCTCTACTTTAGTCAATCCTCTTTGCAATCCTCTTTGCACGGAACAATGATATCGTCGATTCGAAAGTAGAGTCGGATCAACGTTTTTAGTTCTTACGAATATACGTGTAGAATGGTATCATCAGAGTGCAGGCAAAGGAGATTTCCGGAGGATGTATCAGCAGCGCATTTCTACCCGATGAACTCTCCAGCAGGTAATGAAAAAAAAAATTATAATATTAATAACAATAACGTTAATTTAAAGATTAACTTGGAATGCATTACTTATTGTAGTATATTTTGAGTTAAAATGTATTATATCAAATGTGATGATAAATTACCTAAAGGGGAAGTTATTAGGTAGAAAAACGCTGCTGATAAGTCCTCCGGAAATTTAATGCGAAAATAACTAATAACATGAATTTTTCCATCCAAAAAAGGCTCATGTTAAAAAATTCCAGACTAAATTTTGATATTTCCTGATGTCTGTGAACAAACAAGAAATCCTCAGAAGAATAAATTGCAAATGAAATACACCTTCTCCAGGTTTCAATTATTAAATCAATGATATTTTTATTCAATTATAAAATTTATCAAGGCCTTCATAGAATCCCCGAAACATAATAAATTTATTAAATTTTATATGAAAAACGGATTTTCTGCTACCGTCTCTAAATTCTGTTAAAAAACATACAATTTCCCCCCATACATCGAAATAAATCGAGTACTACTGAGAAAACGAGTACAACTTTCTGCAAATCCCCAAATTTCAAAAAATGTAATTGTTCCAGAACTACCCCAAAGGTTGCCCCTCGCCCATTTCAGATCAGAGATCAGTACTCAAGTAGTCATTCCCCATATTTCGGTGGGCTTCAAGTATTTTTTTTTCCTTATGGTGTCCATACTCCCCCCCCCATCAATCAGTACCCGATTCCTGGCGCCCTCTTACCCGCCAACTCAATGGGTAATCCACACACCTCGACTATTTCTCGACCTTTCCCACTTTTAAATCCCATTGAAATCCAACAATTCGGTCCCAGATAAATTGAAAAAAAGTAAAAACACGTGTAAAATCGAAAATGCCCCCTTGTGAATGTTGAACGACATGGCAATACTAACAGAGTGGAAATAGGTGATTTTTCATGCTGATGGTAGCGTGTTGGCAGCCGTGTGTGCGAAGGGGGCAAGGCTTGGACAGTGTTGGGAGCTCAGTGAGAAAACTCGGTTGCATCGAGCCACTACAAACCTCCAAATAAGCTCTTGGAGCGGGTTTGGAGTTCAGTACATCAAAATCAAAGACCCATATCACTCATCCCGCCTCTCTCGCCAGTGCATCCTCCCTCTCCCCCTGTCCCTCCCCGTCAAAGTAATTATCAACAAACAAACGTGAGAATCTGTCGAGTGGTAGGTTTTTTTTTCGCTTTTTCATTCGCTGGTGCACCGTTCTGTTCTGTTCTGTTCTGTATCTGTTAATGGTGTTTGTGGGAGTGTCGAGAGAATTAACAGTGCTAGTGCAGTTTGTCTCCCGTCGGTGAGCATTTGTTCATGGGATTTGAGTTATCATTCATAACCAAAGTGCTGGCCAAATTCCCTTCTCCCGGAAAACTCGGATCAACGACCTGAGAATCTACAATTTGTGGAGCTTGTTGTGATAACGCCGAGAGGATTTCGAGGCGGTTTTTTTTTTCTACCAACAGACGCTTCCCTGGGAGATTTCGTCGTAGAGATGGAGTAGTGGAGGACTCGGGCGATGTTGGGTAGTTGTTGTTTTTATTGTGATTTTTGGGAGTGATTGATTGTTTCAGTGGTATTCTCATGCCGTTGATTGGCCAAGTGATAAGTTTGAGTGCAAGCGAGTGATAAAGTGTTTTGGTGCACCTGATAAAACTAGCCCTTGGGTACGTGATTAGAATTGTTTTATGGTGGTGAGTGGAGAGCGTGACCATATTTCTGCAGCCTCGTGACTCGTGACGATGTTGAAAATGTCGTAAGTCTTGAATTTTACCCATTTTTTTTTGGTATTTGTTGTTGAGGTATGTTTGTTGTAGTTGATAGAGGATTGTAAATATTGAGATGTGTGGGAGATAATGCCCTTCCGACGGGCGGGTATATCCGTTGAACCGACGGTTGTCAATTTTTGAATGATTTTTTTATTGGATAAAAAGAGGAAATTGTGGTGAAAAAGGGAGGGATAACAGAGGTACCGAACAATGTTATCGCGTGCTTTTCCAGCGACTGGATGCAGTGGTTTAACATTTGTACGGACATTTTCAGGATCAGTTTCTTCATGAATTCAAGGAATAATCTAAAATTCAAAGGAGAACACTGCCAATCGAAAGGCATCGTAATACAATCCAAATCAAGATTGTGTCTTTTGTTTCATGGGATAAGATGAGAAGATATTCCCGAAGAAACTGTTCCTGATCATGATTTCGCTGTTGAATAATTAATCTGTTAAATTGAAGTAGGAAGATGTAGAATAATTTGGGATGATTTAGGGTCATACAGCTTCATTAATTCTATCGTGAAGTGGTAAAATAATAGGATGTTAGAATAATTCAGTATTAATTAAGTACTTAATTAGTACTCTGAGTTCAATTGATTATATTGGACCACGTCGATATGTACATGACCATCTTCGGTAATCAACTGCATGTCACTTGAATGATTTAGATTGATAAGAAATGATGGCACGGGTTGAAAGAAAATGCATGATGAGCACGTACTGTTCCTTGTATCAATTACGAGTCACCTTATTCAATATATAACGCTTCTAGTTGGAAGATGAATAAATCCATGAAAATCATGGTCCATTGGTGCTGAAAGCTTGTGCTTTTCCCTGAATACATGCCATTCAATTATTATAACTCAAGTAAACAAGCAAATCCAAATTTGATTGGATATGAAAATTAAACGTAGTCGAGATGCGATGTACGGAGAGTCCAAGGCGGAAAGACCGTGACGTAAGTGGGTCACACAAATGCCCAACACATATGTGAGAAACGTGTATATGTAAACGTGCGTCTCTGGAAAAGCTCGAGTAGTGTATGAAACAGTAAGGCGTCCATTTTGCCGATGTAAATTTTGCACACAACGCCCGGGGGGAAATCGTCCATTCGATGCCGATATTTCGATCGTCTGCCGGACTTCCAACGTACGTTTCGATTTTCCCCTATGAATTTTCCGGGTTAGAAAATTTGCAAGGTCCCCTGCATTAATGAGATGGGGTAGAGTTGATTCGATTATTTCACGGGTCCTAGCAAAAGTTGGGAAACTCGGAAAAATCACTCAAAATTGCATTTATCGAAATTTCTAACTCAGATCGTTTATATGGGGGGAAATTCGGAGCAAAATAATAATATATCAAGTTTAATTGGAAATTGAGAAAAACAGCGGGATGAAGGGGAGGGTGCAGCTAGAAACTGAGAGGAGGATTGATTGAAATTGCAGATTTTTAGGCGTAGTATGAAAGAGTACAGGGATTTGTTTGTTTATTTGAAATTTGCATGGATTTTCCGTATAACCCGTGCATTCATCATTTTATTCCTAAATCGAATTCGGTATTCCTGCCCCCAAAATTGAAAAATACATTCACGGGAATTTTATGGTTGTCTGTTTATGCTTACAGAGAAGAGGAACAGAAATTTATAGTTCTATTTGATTATTCCCCGAAATTCTGCATTTTCAGTGACGAAATGCCCGGATATTTCAAGGAAATTGCAACATGATAAAAATTTTTTAAATTTGGCACAGAAAATACAACCATAAAATTTTACCAGGCTAGTGCTTTAAAGACATTGCAGTAAAAAACATTATGATTTCCGGTGTTAGTACAATTTTTTTGTGAAGTTCAATTCAAAATTTCTTTTTTAATTTTCATTTCTTTTCAAACATTTTTTTTACCATTTGAGGATTAATTTTGCTATAAATTTTTCTTCGTATGTCTTGAATTCTTGAACCACAAGGAAAATTGTAATTTTCCCTGTAAAAGTCATCGGCATTAAACGCTGAATCCATCCGGAAGCTAACGATAATGATGATAATCTTGACCGCCAAAGCCTTTAGTTAGATTTTACTTTTATAATCTGACGCCGAAGCTATTTTTTCAATTAAAATTTGCGGAAATCCCTTGCGTTCATTTCATCTTCACATTTCCTCCGGTCCAACAGTCACAGACTTCTGCACTGGAAGGGAAAATTTCTTTGACAATAACAATTTGCATTGAACAAAAAGACATTTTATTATTAATTCGAAAAATCGAAAAATCTGATGAATAATTTCATTCTGGACGTCGCGAAACAAAAGTCTTTGAACAGGATGAAATTCTCTTGCCCCGCAGGAATTTCCAATAATTCTTGAAGTGATTTCACGATTTCGAAAAATAATTTATATTAAGCGAATCTTCGTGTGGAAAGGAGTTATTTTGTTAGTGAAAAAAAATTCCCAGCTAAATATCAGAAATCGGTAGATTACACCCACTTGTAATTAAGCCGCGCTTTCATGAGTCATTTGTAAACTATATTTGTACCTTCCATTTCATCCTTTTAAATTGAAATTCGAGGGTAATCTACACGTATTTACTATTCCACGAACAAGTAATTCCATGACCACACAACGAGTGATTCGATGGGAAAATTTCACGGAAGGAAACCTGAAAATCGATAGTGTATGCGAGTGAACACGAAAGTGTAGCTGGAACTCGAATTGCCCCAACAGCGTCCGTCCGAGGATTTTCAACCATTTTGTTTTCCCAGAGTTTCTTTTCACCAGTCCCTGCCAAACACTAAGTTACATATACACGAAGAGAAATTCTTGACAGAGATTCTAGTCCTACCACACTGAAAAAGGGGCGCAAAATCCCAGTTACGAAAAAATTCTAGTGCCGGCACTGCACATTTTACTGGACAAAACGTGACATTTTTTCGTATTAACATGGAATTTTACTGGAAATAACCAGAAATCATACCTCAATGCCTCTCAGACTTTTTACAGCAAGTGGATTACGATGTTCTTAGTATGGGGACGAGAATTTTGCGAGACAATTTCTATCCGAATATTCACAATAAATTCTATCAACATAAAACTTTATCCATTGGCATCCGAATCCACTTTCATGATGTAAAATCATCAATAACAATCTTGTAGGCTTATTGCCTCGAAAACTGCGATTTTTAATTGGAAAGAACAAAAAGACATTTAAATATACCTTTCGATTTTATTCATTGTACAGGGTATCAAGCTTTACAGATTTATTATCCGGACTCAGATGGTAAATTCAATAGTAAAATGAAGATAAAATTATATTCGTGGAATTTTCACTAGAATTTTATGAGGAGACTCCAGTTGAGTCACCGAATGTGGACAGAAAAAGAATTCAAATGTCTGGGCATTTACCATTTATCATTGATAAGTTTTTATATGAATTGTATCCATTTAGCCCCGACAATTTCTTTCTCTTGTTTTTTGCACAATTATACGACTATCGCTATTTCTTTTATTCTATCGCTAACTTTTCCAGTCAGAATTATCCCTCTTGAGTATAATTTAAGCGAATATATAATTCAATTTAATAGAATTATTATTATAAAAAATGAATCTTTGGACGGAAAGACTCTGAAAAATAGAACATATTGAACATTCATTATTCAATCTTTGTTTACGTTATTTTGTATAAAATCAAGTCAGCAAAATTATTTGTTTAATTTTCGATCAAATATTAGCAAGGATTAATATTGTTTCATATTTATACATAATTCACAAAAATATTCATAATCATTCATGAAATGGTTTGAAGTAGATAAAGGATTTCAGTGCATTATCATGTAATTGCAATCACAAGACACATGACAAACGATTATCAGCACTCCTTGCAGATATTGAGCCATCCTTGACGTAAGCACATTGAGAATAAACCAAATAATTCAATTGACTTAAAATCGGGAAATTCACTTGTGCAGAGTTACTTCTTTTGCAGAAATAATTTTTTTCTTAGTGAGCACCCATTGCGGTGATAGTGGGATTACCTTAAGTGTCTCTGAAACGACATCAGAACCCGTTTGGATACTTAGCGTGCGGGATTGATGACTCTAAATACCTCCTTCGTATTAATAAACTGTTACTTTCATTTTTCGTTTTATCCCGGATTTAAATGGCCGATAGCATCGGAAAATTAAACGTGGGGGAATACGCATACGCGATAGGCAAAATGAGAAATAGGGGGTATCGAGTGGGTGAGTACGTGCTGCATTCGTTTGGGTAAACATTGGAATGAAAAATTGAATAATAGGAGAATAAAGTACATAAAGGTTCAGTGCAGGGGGAGGCACAATTGCGCTGGACTTCTGGTCTATTTAACGGTGCCAATGACACCCGAGATACTGAGAGTTCAGATTGGTTCAGTTGTTCGGTGATAGTTTGGTGTCAGGGATTCTCATTTATCTCAATTGATAAAAAACATGAGTCGTTTGTACCAGTTGTAATCAGAAATCCAAAGAAACAAAATAGCCAATTAACTTATAATTAATTAATGTTCTTTTGAATATCTACACACAACACTTGAATTATTAAAATTATGTGTATTACATACTATTCGAACGGAATTTTGTAATCAATGACTGATTAAATCCCTATTTATTATCCAGAAATAACTAAGTAATGATAATTATTTGTTTTCGTTGCATATTACTACAGAACTCATTATCGGTTCAATAAAATTCCAATGGAATTAATAGATAATGACCTTTTGGAGAACATTTGCGATTACTTAATGAATTATTAATCGGGAAATTTAGAGTACTGACTGTTCTGTTAATAATTATTTAGGAGAAGTTTTAATTTAATGCGATAAGGAATTATTACTGAGGATTCCTGGTATTAATTGGTTTAGAGAAATATTAGCAAACTTTTTTAAAAAGATGGGAAGATATGCAAAATGATTTCTCAATACACAATCCAATCACTCTGCACTTTAAAATATTCATCGAATAATTCAGATAAAATTCCTGAATATCCTCCGACAATTTCGTATCGCCAACGTTCTCAGATTTTCCCGATGTCTCTGCCCCAAAATAACCTGACCAATTTGCGCATTCAACAACAAATTCCACTGAAGAATTTATCGAACATCTGTCGTCCCAATCCAATAAAGAGAATAATTGAAAGTGAGAAGAGAACTTCGGAAGAATCCCGGAAATATTCTTTCCTCTAAAACGGAGAAAAAAATATAAGAGAAGTTGCAGTCGTCACACACTAAACTCAGTACAAATGTTCTTTCCTGAGGAAATTCACAGCAAAGAAAAAGAAAAATAAACCAGCCCTAGTATTTTTACATACAAAGCGAGTAATTTTTGCTAACGATGTAGATAAACTTTTCCTTCCATTTACAATGGAAAATAAACATGACTTTTCTTTCAATCTCAAGAGCAATCACTGATGCTACGGCAATTATTGCCAATTACCTCACAGATTTTTCAAATGGACAACACAAATTACGACGACTGCCTCTCACATTTTTTTCTCCATGCAAATTCAGCAAAGTCGACGTAAACTTGGAAATCTCACCTTAATAACTCTAAAAATTCTGGCAACCCACATCTAATAACTCTGACTCACCGATTTTAATAACTCTTCAACTGTTGAAACTTCTAAACCAATTGCACCCCTGAAGTTTCTTGGAAATTTCAGGAGCTCCAGAATTCAGAAATTCAGATGAGCTCCATAATTCATCTTCACCACCCACCCAGTGGTTCTCATTACCTCAAAAAAAAAACTATAAAACCAATATAAAGCAGTGATGTCACACCTCCCATTGATTAATCGCAACCGAAGAAATCCACCCATTATCCACAACCCATCAGCCACAATCAAACATTAATCTCCCACCATTAATTTACCTTGACGTGGTAGCAACTTCTCTCCTCTCAGGACGTATCAATTTTCAGCATGTTCCAACCCCAGGAACAAATAAAAGACCAGGAGAATTAAAAAATGAAGGTAGAGCCTCGAATGAGGGAGGAGGAAAAAGGGAAAATAGTGTAGAATGGTAATGACGATGCCACCATTGACCAGTTTGGTGTCTCTCTCATTCTCTCATCGTAGTCACACAGTTGGATACTCCTGCTACCTACTCCTCGCTTTAGTATATATGTATTCCCCTTAACTACCACTCTTTCATCCAGTGTTTCTCAACTTACACACTTTATCACGTACACCACCGACTAACGGCAATACCCAGAGATTCTCTAAACTCACCTTTACACTTTTTCCATTTTCACCCAGCTGTAAATTGATTCATCACGGTTCAGTCACTTCCCAATTCTTCCCTTCATTTTCCATAACAACTCGTTTTCAAATGCCTCGAATTTTCTTAAATAATTCATCATTATTATTGGTAATTATAATTAATGATTGAATTCCTGGACGATGTGAAGTGAGAATTTTTGGAGATTATCAGGTTGTTTTTATAAATAAATTTGAATCTCACTTTATCGCGTACACCAATTACTAATGGCAATGTAAATTAATTCATCAGGGCTCAGTGCTTCATGATCCTTCCCTTCGTTTTCAAGTACACAATTCATTGTCGAATGATGGGATTTTTTAAATTAAATACCATCAGTATTATTGTTAGTGACAGTCAATTTTTGGCATTAATTAGTCATTGATACTAATTGATATTAATTCTTGGCATCCATTGAATCATTAATTTGAAATTCATGAAGGAAGTGAGATGGAAATTTTTGAAGATTATCAGGTGGTTTCTGTCAAGAATTTTAAATTATCGATGTACTTTCTCACGCACACCAATGACGGCAATACCTGAAATTTTCCAAACTCATCTTGTTCATTTGTTCAGAGACATAAATTGATTTATTATGAACGCAACTCTTCCTCCAGTTTCAGCTGCAGGCTTCGTTGCTAATGTCGATTAATGATGCATGTAACGTTTAACGAGCAATAGCGGTCTTCAATTGAGAATATTTTCGAGTTATGTAATTTGATAATAAATATTCTGCAACAAATGATTGAATATTCAAGGATTTCACTTGATGCTTGAATCAAGTGTATGATTTTAAATATTCCCGTTGCAATTAAAATTGGTTGCTTTTATCTCCCGTTCAATTATTCTCAATATTCGTACTTGGATATTATTACTCGAAAAAGGGTTAACAATCTTTATATTTCGGGAAGCATTTATGAAAGAACTGAAATTTGAAGTTTTGCTAATTATCATTTTTTTGTAATCAACATGGAAATGACTGCAATTTTTCCATTTTTTTTTTCGAAAATTTTTCTATTTTTTTCGAAAATTTTTCTATTTTTTTTTTAATTTTCTCATGTTTTTTTCAAAAAAAGGCCAGTCATTAATGCACTGATTGGATATCGTAAAAAATGAATATCATCAATTCTCACGCGATTGTTGATGGGACAACTCTAAAGCTGACCGAGGTACAATATTCTCTCTGGAAAATAACTTTCCCTCCCGTCTAATCTGCTCATTACTACGTCATTATCATCATCACAAATGATACGAAAACTCCTTACGAGGTATTCAACCGGGATAATGGAATAATTTACCATACATGAAAGCGTCTATCGTGCAAGGTCGTCTCCCAAACTTAGAGAATGATAATTGAGTTTAAGAGAAAAAAAAAACGGTTGCACCGTCTCCTAGGGTGGCCGGAGTTAATTTCCCCATCAAAAATTTCTTCCAGGAGAAATTTTCCGGATATGATTTCCCTCTAAATTGATTATCACCCTACAATACTTTCCAATAAGTTTTAAACTCAATAACCACATTAGATCCAACAATTTATTCTTATCGGGCGATTATCGGTGAAAATAATCCAGCACACAGTCCTGTCATTACGACAATTACAATCGTCATTGTAATTTTGTTGTAAATTATGTCAAAGTTATATTGCATTCATAATTCCGAATTATTGAACGAAGAATGAATAATTTTTGTTTTTTAAAATGCTGCGACATTGAGGAAAAATTTTTCATGCGGAATTTTTACGAGGAAAATATCACGGGAAATGTTTTTCTGCGGGAATTTTGACCGGGTAATTAAGTCCGGGAATCCTCTCCTGGTGGACTATTTTCAGTAGTAAACCAGTTTGATGGATAAAGTGGTAGTGGGATTATTTTGGAGGTAGGAAGTGTAACTGAATCTCAAACTGGGCGAGTCTCTGGCATACCTTTGCTCTTGTATACCTGGAGGAGCCTGGCCTGGTTTGGGCCAACGCCAATGCGTGCCCCATTGCTTTTTCTTTTTTTTTTTTCCTCTTTTTTTCTGCCCCATCCCACGTGACCTCTCACTCTGGTAATGATAGTTGTACTTCTTGTCCCCCGCACTCTCCTTTTTCATAGGCGTTTTAGTCTCTCGCCTGGCTTATTGACATTTTTTATGGATATACATTGCATTGCACTGTTAATTTAATTTCAGTAACGATTGCAATTCAATTATCAATGTTGTGGGGTTGAATTTACGTGGAGATTACATCGCCCCCATTTGTCATAAAGTTCCCATTAATCTTGGAAATTCAAGAAAATCATAAATTTCAGGGTGAGCCATCACTGATATTTCGCTCATATTTCAAGGACTGCTTTCATTTTTTATTGATTAATTTTTAATTATATTAGATTGAATTTCCAATAGACTGAAAGTTCAGGAAAATAGTTATCTGAATTTTCAGTATTTTAAATAATTTTCGTTGTCGTGTATTGGATATTAGAAGTTTATTGAATGTTCAATGGAACTCGTTGATTTTGTAATTAGTGAGTGAAGGTAAATTTCATATATCTTCAGGTTGTGAAAAATTTCACTTACAGTTTATGGATTTCAGTGGTGAAGCGGAATTTCTGGAGATGATGGAGTGTGAAATATGTTTTTAAGGGATATTTCGGGAATGGAGGGGATGCCTTCAATTTCTAAGTGCTGTTCAGAAAGTGATTTTCAAGGAATATTAAGGAATAAATATATATATCTTATTCCTAGGTAATGGTAGAATTTAGATCTCCGTGAAAATTTTTCAACTGAATATGCAATTCTAGATTCAATCGGCCATTTTAAATTCATGCAACGGTTCAACAGATTGAGAATTTCTATAATTGATGGATTCTTTTTGGAAATAATTTTTTTTCTTCATTCGTACGCAAAAATAAAATTCCCAGTATCTTTACCGGAATTAATTCCTGAAATATCTCTAAAAAAATTTCCAAATAAACTTCACTGGAATTATTTTTTGCTACTCTCTTTTAATTTCTGAATTCTATCCAAACGATGACTATGAAGTTAATTACGTTCCATAAAAATCCTCGGCTTAAACAAGTATTTTTGCTATCACCTGTTCTGTAAAGAAAAAAAGGTACTTATGAAAAAAAAGGTCCACCTTAAAAAATACTGAAAATATACCGAAAAGTCATGGTCGAAATGCTGACTCATCTCGTTTGATCCCTTCACCGCCGAATAATTAAACTCATTCCATTCCGAATTACTTCATAATAAATAGTTTGGCTGTACGAATGAATTTAACCATTATTAAACTGGGGAATTTCTGCTCTTTTCGTCAGAGAGAAAAGCGATGAGGATCGCATAAATGCACAGACCTAGGACATCATGAGGGGAAGAACTCCGTTGGCGGATGACACCCCAAAAAGGGCCCCGCCTGCGCCCAGAAGAGGTGAGTTTAGTTCTCCCCTCGACCCCAAACCCCAACCTAAATGCACAAATATATACTCCAACAACAAATTAGTTATTGTCAACAAAATGCATTTCGTTCAAGTCCAGCCTCAATTTATGGTCGGGCCAATTTCATTCCTTCATTCGTTAATACACTGATAAAAAAAATTATTCCTCCGAAGGAACTTAATTCAAAACGCAAATTACACCGTTCATACCAATTCACCCAATTACACTGATCAATATCTGCAATTTCCGTTTATTTAACGCTCAACCGTTATTGATAATAAAAATGACAAATTACCGGACATTACCCCAAAATAGTAAACTGTAAATTCATGTTCAATATCAAAATCATTGTACAGCATTTCAGTAATAATTGAATTTCCAGTAAAATTTGTGAAAGTTCATACGAATTTTCATGACACTGAAATTTTTCCCTAGCTGGTACATTCCACCCCTTGCATGCATTTTTCCGGGGATTTTTCCAACGAATTTCTCTCTGTCGTGCGATCCAACGCAAATTTCCGCTGATGTTCAAGTCCACTAAAAGAATAAAAACAACGTATGCACTACGGAAATTACTGTTCCATGGGTATCCCTCTAATAATGGAATTCCAATGATGACGGAAAGTCTAGTCAAGCGAGAGAGTTGCAATGAATTAGTCCAACACAAAGGAAATTAATCAATAAACAAATTCATCTTCATGCCGATAGTGCCCACAAATACCTGTACATTGAATATTTAATATCAAACAATCAGAGCAATATCAATTCACTCAATTGTTACTGTTTCTGGGCAAAAATCCTTCAACGAATTGATGAGACTGAAGTACACAAGGATAAAACGAATTTATTTCGTACTTTTTGTCTCAATTAAACCCACGAGTACATTGAGGGGCTAATACAATTTTCAATCGAGTAATTAACCTCAAATGAATTGAGTTTTATTTCTTATTCAACCCAGTATATATTACGTTAATTATTCACACATTTATGTTGCTAATTTTCGTGTTACTATGCGACACTACCTTTTCTGGTTGCTCATTCCCTCTCTTTCATTCCCCGAGGGGACGACAGACTTTCACCCTATCCCCACCCCCTTATTTCCCCCTTCTCTCCCCCTTTTCTCCCTCTCCGATTCCACCCCCTTTCCTCTGTCGCCCATCCCAACCCCTGGCAGACCCCTCGCCATCAGTGTATCTCATGGGCGGTTTGGTCGATACACGTCACATACGCACACCAGTCCATGAAAGACAAATCCGTAGGATTAAATATCAAAAAGGTGTCCCGATGAATGTTGAGGTTGTTTGTGGAAATTTCTCGACCTCACGCGTATGAGAGGATTCAATTGCAAACGATTCTTGTTAAATATTACTGAATACCGGAAAATATTCGCTTGAGAAATAATATATTTTGTCAAAAGTGCGGAAAAGTTATTTTTGGCGTGTGGGTGGTATAATCCTACATGTCAAAAACAACTTTCTGCACGAGTTGCGAACAATATTTTTCTTTGCAATGTGTGGGAAAGTTACTTGTTGGCACATCGTGATGAAAATAGTATATATTGCCGTATATTACACCGTAATATATATCAATTATATTTATATATTTATTCAGCGTGTATACCCTTTCGCGCTTTTACATTTGTACCCGTAATATATACCATTTTCTATTACTATTTCGTATCAATAATGAATAATTACGGTACAAGGGAAAAAATTTATTTAGTGACTGCTGGTTTTAAGTCAGGTTTGGAAGTTAGGTTAATGGATGAATGAAACTTTTATGTAGGAACAATTGAAATTGAAATTGAAAATGAAAGCAAAAATCCATTGCGATAATATTTAAGTAAATGGTACAGATTATTCAAATATTCAAAAAATATTGTAATGGATCCTGAAGAGATGTACAACTATTACGGTTTTACTTTAAATGACACACAATTTCGTTAGAATACTCTCTGGCAGGCATATCGTTATTCATAATAAGTTGGTGAAGTTTTTTTTTTGCGTGCATACACTGGGAAGCCATTGAGGCAGCCTTAGGAAAAAAGTACTACACCAGTCCGCGGGCATCAATCCTCTCGTTTTTCTCCCCGTTTATGTTACGGTTTTTTTTCTTACCCGGGGGGTGGAGTTTGTTCTATTTTGTGGGGAAACTTAATATGCGGGGGTTGATTTTTGTTTGAGTAATGAGGATGTATGTCGGTGGTTGGATGACAAGAGGCATTGTTAAATTGGAGGAATGAGTCCTTAATGAAGAGGAAATACAATTAAGAACTTATGAATTCAAAGCTTGTTCTGGGGATATCTATGGAAGGAAGAGGTATTGAGAAGATTATATCAATTCCACCATCTTCCATAGATTACTGGATAATAAGCAAAAATTAAGGTTTTCCTGAAATCCATTTAGAGCTATCCAAAAGATTTTAACAATGGATACAAAAAATTACTAGGATTTTTTTTCTAAATTGTGGAATCAAGAATTTTCAAAATATAGAATGAAAAATTTTTCTAAGTTGATTTTTTTTATTAATTGTGGAGCATAATGTAGATGAAAAATTATTGAAAAAATTAAATTTTCTGTAAACCTTTCATAATAAATGAAAAAATAAAAGGTTTCTGAAAATTCATAGAGATGAATCATTAAAGGCAATTAAAAATTAATTCTTTACATCTCATTAATTCGAGTACGTCCAATTAATTAACGGATAGATTGAATTGAATTTTTATCTTTGTGCCATTCAAAATGTACATGCTTCATTTCACTTTCGAGAAAAAAAAAATTGCACGATTTTTTCTCCCTAAGTCGTATTCACTGATACTGCCCTGAAAATCGATAATCAACAGTGTCGAGGGAAATGCCTCAAGACTGTACATTCGAATGAATCTCATGTTGTGGTCGTTTCTCATTTATATATTTATTTTTTTTTTGTGCCGATTACCATTTCCATCTTATTTCCTCCAATCGAATCTGTCACGTGTAGAAATCGCATTTGTATCGTACTTGTATCAGTAATCATTTTCTTACCGTGAATTACAGCGTAACGTCTGCAATTCTGCAATATGTAAATTAATTCTAGAAGACCTTCGGGACAATCGTCAGATGCCAACTTACGTGCAACAAACTACGTTAAAATAATAATGTAGTCAAGCCGTTATTCCGTTAAGTCAGCTATGTTTTTTTTTTTCATTATCAAAACGGCATTTAGTTTGAGTAGTTTACAATGAAGTCGGTAAAAATTAAGACTTTTTCTGGTCTGATGAATTTAGAAATCCTTTTTCTTTATCTAATCATGTTTATTCATAAAAAGCAGAAAAATTCATAAGTCGAGAACAAACATCTGCTTTCAGTTCATGAAAATTTCATGGAGAGGGGAATCTTATCAGTCTGAGTTGGGATTATTTTTATGATCATGATTTGATTTTTATGGCGCATCGCGAATTTCAGGCGTTTTTTGTATTTTTAACTTTCGAAAACTTGTTGAAAATTTTTTTATACGGAAAGATATATTTCCATATGTAAGTTTTCTCAGAGCGCATAAACGAAAAATTTAAAGGGTTATCTGCTATCATAAAGAATTGAGAAATTGGAGCGACATTCATCCTCAAACTTTTGGGAATTATGATGAAAATTCCTCAGTCGAAGCGGAATGTTTACTTGAAGATGAAAAAATCCCTGAGGATGCGCGTTAAACTTATGAGTTACGACTATTCTCACAACTGAAGAGAATTATAATTTCAAAACCAAAAAGTAGTCTTGAATTCCCTCATGAATTATCATGAGCAATTACATAATTGCATTTACTATGGGTTTCATAATTTCATTAATGATTTGATGAAAAAATTTCGGAATTGAAAAAAATTGCCAGCATCATAAGTTTATGGAAATTGCATGGAAATGTGGCTTGAATCCGTAACTCTTTCAGAGCTTACGGAGATCATAATACGTCGTGGGAAAAAGTTTCTGCGATTCTCATAAATTTTATTATACAATAAAAAGAAAAATTGAAATTTAATCAGAGCGGAAATTTTGATCCAGTAATTCGCAAAATTTTTCTATTTGCCATTGAAATGAACGCTTTTTGATTATTGAAATCTCATGAAATGACAACTTGAATTATGAGTCTTAGTTTTATCTAACAGAAGAATAATTCACGTTTTCCAGGAATATTCTCATAAAATTATTCGAGAGGGATTGAATCCCCATTCAAAATATCAATCAAAATACATGTGTGAATCCTTACAAATCCTGTGCAACCATTTCCCTAGTTCACACAGTGCAAATATTCTAATAAAAAAACGAATAGCATCACCGTAGGGATGAGCTACATTGAAGTACGTGGACTTCAAAATAAAATAAAAACAGTCCCTACTTTTCCCAATACATAAAAGTGCTAAATAAATACGACATTGAAAGCAACAACTGTAGCCTTTTACAACTAAAACCTCATTTTTTGTAAAACATTTTTTCATGCACTGTTAAAAATTTCTTGAAATTGTTAGACTTCTGAATTTTAGTAAAGTCGTATCTGGATTCGCATATGGGTTTGAATTCAATTTCAATGAAAAATCACTAAATTTTTCATTTATCGTGAAAATTCAACATGAAATATAATTGAATTTTCAGTAAAATAAAAATTCTCGTCAATTATTTTATTATTCAGGAATATTGTTATTACTATTATTTAATTTTCGACATTTTCATATATCATTTGGAGTAAAGTCAAAAAATCAGCTGGTTGGTCAATGAAAATATTTTTACTTGAAATTTCAAGTGTGATTTTCCAACCGTGTGTTCCATAAGTAAAATATCGAATGACGTCAGCTCCTCATGAATGCATAAGGAAAAAATGCAATGGATTTATCTTTATTCTTATTTCCAGAATATCCTTCTTTGTTCGATTGATTGATGTGATTGGAGATTTGCGTTGATCTCATTGAAAGAAAGAGAAAATTTATCTTTAAATAAGAAGGACGACTCGTTTTACCCCTGTAATGTCGAAGATAATGTGTATGAGTTCGCCTTTAAATAAAGATAGATGTATAGGGATTACCGAAATTGATTCGATAGACTGAAATTTTTTCATTTTGGGAACTGCTGAATCACAACGGTTTGTCCTTTTTCGATCCCATGAAAATTTTTTGGGTTTTCAAGCCTACACCTGGAAATTTACAATCTTGTCAGGTTCCCTACCCTTTCAGTATTACTCATACGTTGAAAAATTCTCAAATTACTCTGCGAACCCTACCCTATTTTTTAGCCCCACAATAACCCCACACGTGGGTCATTCATGTCCACAATACGCAAAGAGCGTACACTGCAAGTAAAACAAACAATTTCTCAAGCATTTTTTGTGACGGCCAACAAAATCGTGGGTTGAAAATATTTTTTATTTCAATTTCATCGGAAATGTTACAGTAATTCTCATGAAAGTGACATTTTATTGGCTTTAGCGGGAAATTGGTCAGGGGTATTTAATTTTAGAGTAGAACTTTTTTCTGAATTTCTCATTTTACACCGCTTCGAGTCATGATGACTATGACGATTGATCAAGACTTAAAAAATGGTTCGATAGTCACCGGGCGAGTAAAGAATTCATGAGCAAAAGAGGATCCATTCAATAATAAATGATTCACCATTTAACCAAGAATTTCTATCATTTATTCATAAAAGAAAAAGTTTGAAAAAACAGAAAAACTTTGTGAACTTTTTTTTCTATTTAACCTTTTCTAATAATTTCCACAATTGTGATTGGTGTGCAGACTATTCCCATTTCTATTCACTTGACTATTGGTTCGGATACTCATCAAGAATGTACCACTCAAATAATAACATCAATTCCCAATATTTTCGAGCTCTTACCTGAGAAAAATAAATATTCTTGACACTTGAATTTATCAACCACAAGAAAACCCCCACATATCAACTCTAAATATTTACATAAATTTGCTCCACTGCCACGTACATTAGCTCGACACGAGTGAATTTATTTTATTTTCTTCGTGAATCAAAAGATATTGAAGATATCAACCTGGAGATGTTGCTCTCCCCGCAAGTCTCCAAATAAAGAACGACTCGACTCCATGATAAATCCCCTCATAATAAAGGACGCGAACACCTGGATATCATGAAGAATTAATGATTGGTTCAGTCGTTGTAGACGGCTAATCTGAATTCCGAACTCATTGAATTTCACCAATTTCAATCATGTTCAAAAAAAAAAGGGTAATCGTGCTTTTTCAATTGGCGTAGGCGTTTCTTAGGAAGATATTGACCCCGAGATATTGCTCTCTCCGCAATCCCCCCAAATAAAGAAATCGACTCGACTCCGTGATTAATCCCCTCATAATGAATCACTCGAACGCCTAGAACTCATAAAGAATTGAAAGGGCCCCGGAGTGCCGGCGTAGTGCCGGTTGACTCTGGTGCAAAGGTGGGCGAGTGTCGGGCGTCGCGCATAGCGTTCTACCCTCGTAACGATCGATTCGCAACATAGGGGCGGTAACCGACACGTTGACTGATATAGAGAAGAAAACGAGCATCGTTGATAATTTAATGTAGACCCTGGAGGGATTCAATACACCGGTAATCCTGACAACATCCACACGCGCCGATCCCCAAGATTCTCCACTACTCCAATGATTTTATTTTATTTATTTATTTATTTATTTTGTGCAAATTCGATATTCACTCTGATCAATTTTCAATTTGAAAATGGAGGGATCCCGACGGAAACGATGAGGTGGCGTATGTGCGATATATCGCTGAGCAGCTAGTGCTTATCGATTCTCGCTCAGCCCCTTCCTCTTCTCCTCCGGGTTGTCGCTCCACTGGACTTCCGGTAAACCAGGACACGAACGAAGATGCGAATTAATCTAGGAATGGTTGAAAAGGGGCAATAATAGTCATAAAAAATCGGGTATTCTTTTTCATGAGAAAGAGTTTCAGGAGATAATGATTAATAACCAGTGACCGAGTTTGAGATAATGAGGTTACTGGTGTCAGATATCACTTAGAACGCGTGAATGAATTGCGATATTTATTCGGAGCTCTTAGGCTGCCATTGCAGTCAACAATATCATGATTCAATGGTGAAGGGAGGCAACATTAAAGGAGATGGCGAGGGGCAATGCGTTTTGGACATATTATTTGGGTGATAAGTTTGGAACTAGTTCACGGAGATGCAACATAGTTCTGATAATTAATGATGCTGCTTAAGGGTTTTGTTTTGAATGAATATTTGAAGGGGAAATTTAGGCAGAGATTTAGGGATTTTTTTCAGCTCAGAAATATGGACTTGGCAGAAATTTTTTTTGCAGTCTTGGATTCAAAAGAAATTAGATACTTCAGGAGATTGTGGAATTCTCTGGAAAATAGGTTTTGATGAATTTGTAAGAAATTTATCGTTCGAAAATTTCAGGGTTTGCAACTAGCTCTGGAACTTAAGTATTTGGAGATGAATATCTTTTGACGATTTTCTCTGAATCTCTTTGGGCTGAAAATACACCAGGAATGAATTCCAATTCTGTTCTGACCTGCATTCTGGAGTTGAAAACCATTTGTATGTTATTTTGGAAATTACTCAGAAGCTAGTTGGTCTAGCGGGGAGTGAAGTTGTGCAAAGTGACTGTTGATTAATATTGGAATGGATATCATTTCATATTCATCATCCTCCAGTTACTGGGAAATCTGAAGAATTCGAAGAAGATTGTTTCGACAAGTCTGTTTAAATCCTTCCTCTCGAAATTATTTCCGGTATGTCTTGCGATTGAATTTCGAACATTATTCTGGTATCAAATGAGTTTGATTGAAAAAAACCAGAAAAAATTCCATTTTTTTTCAGGTTTCAAATATCTCTAAAATTAACGAATTCGGAAATAAAATGTTACTCGGTAAAATTCAACTCTAAAAATTTCCCCAGTACAAATTGCGATTGCGTAATGAACTCAACGTTAGAGCTGAAAATATATAGTACCGAGTTCGTTGAGAAAACCAATTAAAAAATGTTTTCCCATACCGTCCCCACTCGGGAAATTTCTACCCGTTTCTTTTCGAAAATCCCTTCATTTAAGCTCTGGAAAAAATGTAAAAATGTATTTTTTCCAGAAGCAACAGCAGCAGACACTCTGGGTGGCAGAGTTACATGCACGGAGGCCAACATATTGCCGTGCTTTTCATCGCCGACGGCAGTAAGAAAAATGGTTACATCGACGAGCAGCGCGGATGAGGCCCCGATAAGCCAATCCCCCTCAAATCATCAAAAGCCCCATTCCCGAGTCAAGCAAGAAGCTCCAGTAACATTTTACCGATCTGGTCAAACAACCCAGGACAAACGCAGTCGTCTGTCAAACGTGATAAACAGTCTCTACCGTAAAGTCCCCGTAACCGATAGAAATAGCGTCGAGAGAAACCTCGAGACGCTTGAAAAATACGTAATGACGGTGCTAAATGGCGTAATCAAGGACGCTGAAACCGAGGGAACAGACGAGCGTAGAAAAGCTGACGACACTTGTTACAATGGGCCAAGCGAAGAATCAAGAATCATCGATGATGACGGTAAGCAACTCAATCGTTTATCCTCAGAGCCAAGTGCTGTGGAACCTGCGGTACCAAGTGTATCAATTCCCCAACACAGCAAGAGTGAAAATAATCCCAAAGAGGAAATGAGAAACGAGGAGGAAAGAAAGAAACTAAAGTCAACACTATCACTTGCGTCATCTGAGAATGACACATCAATCACGGATACCACATCGAGAAGAAAAAGCCCAGTGGTGACTGAGATCATTGAACCACAATCAGAATTTCAATCTCCAACAGCATCAGCACTGGATGTTGAGCATTCACCGCCTGAGAATGCGTCTGAAAAAATTCATACAATGTGCCGTGAATTATTAACAGACCTCGTCAATGAAATAAGTCAAACAATGGAGCAGCAAGCAGCAACCCCTTCGAACACTAGTCTCCAATGCAGTCTTCCCCTCGACAAAGTCGCCCCGGTCCTTGATATTTGCGATAGCACCCCACATTCATCAAAGTCGACGGTGCGACATTTGTGCCTGTACTGTGATCGTAAATTCCTCTCTATATCCCTTCGTCAGCGGCATACAGAGAGAGTCCATCAGATTGGTGGTGGTAGACGAAGTGATAGAAATAGTAGAAAAACAAATTGCCAGTATTGTTCGGAGAAATGCGCTGAAAATTTGGATGGTCTCTTTCAACACATGACAGTCAGCCATTCGGACAAGTATCACGGTTGTCTCCAGTGCTCAACGAGATACTCAAGCAAAGAAGCCCTAGCATTCCATACCAATGAATTACACCCCAACGAGAGGATTAATGTCACATATTCATTCGCCAGTGATTGTAATTCGGAGAGTTTTAAGGAGACGACCAAATGTGAGACCATTCGCACGCAGATTAAGATGTTTACACCACTGAAATTGGACCTGCTACCTCGTGATGATTCTAAAGAGACTGGCTCTCAGGACTTTGATAGTTCGTTTTATAATCATGTCTCCTGCAACATACGCGAGAATCTTCTGCATCATTTGGATGGCAAACTCCATCCCAGTGCTAATTCGCTGGCATCAGCTACATGTTATCAGACGAATTTTTATGAGCCAACACAGGTGCAGTGTCCTATTGACATTTCGTTGACAGCTGCAACACCAGTAGATAATAAGGAATACACCACTGGGGAGACACAGAATTCGAGTGAATATGCGCAGAAACCGGGCAAGGTTACCAGTTGCCATCCTCGTAGAGTGTCATTTGAGAAATACAATTTTCCAAAGAAATACGATGGAAAAGAACCTTGGACCGGTATCGGGGATCTTAGTAAATTTGATATATCCACGCAATTGACTTTGAGAAAGAAGCAGCAGTTATTGAAGGACAAGTTATTGGTTCTGGAGTCGGCCAAGCATGATGTTAATTCAGAAGTATCGAGTGATGTGATAAAAGATTCAGGGGAGTGTGCAGATATGTCGGAGGTGGTGTGTGCGATTGAGGAGAAGGATTTAAATGCCTCGAATGGTAATGATGTCTCGGCGACACAATTTACCGGGGAGTTTGGAAATTTTATAAGACTGAGGAGGTGGGATGATAGCCCAGCGGAGACTTCCAGGGATGAGAAGATCGTTTACGCCGAATTGACGGGCGAGTGGTCCAGGCCCAGAGTCTACATCTGCGGTGCTTGTTCCTCCAAACATCAGAATCTGAAGGACCTCGAGGATCACAAAGTTCTCAGTCATCCGAATGTCTGGTGTTCGCACTTGGAGTTCAGTGGCGATCAGACCGAACTTGATAAGCATTTGGTGTTACCTGGTAGAGGGATCTCGATTATGAAGGCTAAGGATGCCGTGTTGAGTGAGAAGATTTGCACAAAGTGCTTGAAGACGTGTGCCAGTCTATCGGAACTTCATAAGCATATGCTAGAGTGTGGAGGTGATCAGACGTGGCTGCTTGGATTGTTCGGTAATGGCAAGAAGAAGTGCAAGTGGCGGCCTTTTGGCAGTAGGAGGAGGAGGCAAAGGGGCATGAAGAGGAATATTCAGAATTCACAGGACTCCAAGAATCAGGTTAATAAGACGCCCAAAGAAAAGGTCGCTAGTGGGCCAAGGATTCGACCAAGTGATCGTAAGTTTACTTTGTACAGAATTTATTGAGTTTCGAAAACTATTATATAAAAAGTAGAATTTTTAAAATTTTAAAAATTTTTGAAAATTCCCCAAAACATCATAAAATTTCATATTTTAGTAATTGTAATTTCATATTTCTGACACTTTATGGAATTAGAAATATAAAAATTTATGTTTCAAAATTTTATTCATCTCCATCGATTTTTACGGAATAATTGAATTGAAATTTGCACTTTCATTGATTTTTTCAAAATTTCAGTGAATTGTTAGTTATTTCGAGAAAGCTCTTAACAGTAAAATGAAATTGAAAGATAAGTCGAGTAATTAATCGTAAGCATGATTTTCCCGTTATTTTTTCTCCGTGCATCGAAAATCCAGTGATTTAAATATGAGAAAATTGTCGTGTCATAAAAACCTTCAATATTCATAGAGATTGAGAAAATTGCCTATCCACGTCGCATCACTTCACACCTCAATTATTAACCTACCGGCAACAATAACATTGTTATGCCTAGAATGTCTCTAAAATATTCATCCATCCCTAGAAAATCTGCCAGTTTAAAAATACATCGATAAGCTCAGGCTGAAAATAGCATGTGCATAATATGATGGACACATGAGAAAGGGATCCTCCCTGCAGTCTATCAAGAGACTTCGTTATAATCAAACTCCGACGAGAAGATCTCTCCAAATTTTCCGAAGCTTAACCCCCCGGCATTTACAACATAATCGACATATGATTTCCGCCTTATCACCTTTTACCCCTTAATTACTGAATTATTCATGGCTTACCGATAACAACCTATCGGCAATTCCTCCAATATTTCGAAATCACCCCCGTCAACAAATTTACCACTACAAAAATGAATAAATATCCGATAAAACGCCATTGTTATCCCCTCATCACCCTAAAGCTCAATACCCAAATACCCCCATTCATTAAATGGTTTTTTTTTTTCATTAAAGGGGAGAGTATCGAGAAAATGCTCGCCAATTTGCCAGCTAAGCGATCAACCAGAAAAGTCACGCAGGAAATTAATTTACGTTCGCAGACACGCCTGTGTAAGGTAAGATAATCGTATTACTTAAACATATCAAAACATCACCCATTACCAACAGCATTAAATTCTGTTAACAACGCATCAGTGTCGCGCAAAAGACGACACATCATGAAACAAACCTGTGTATGTGTGAGTAGAGTATTGATCAGCTTTTGCCACCACCGTTCTCTTCACATACACGTGTCGTTGGCAACATTCACCTCATATTTTCGTTGTCTCTAACTCCCCCTCTAAAAAATCCCTAAGAGAATCCTTCATTTTTCTCCGTAATAGATTCAAACGAGGTCGAAGCAACGAGGCCTGGAAATCAACTCCAACTCTCGCCTCTCCCGCAAAACGGTCCTGCGAAATAAACTGATAAAGAATGCCAAATCGTTTCAGCGTAAACGCTGTCGAGGGGACAACATCAGCGCAGCTATTGAGAGTGTAATTAGTAATTACGATGTTAGCGCTAAAAGAAGTAGATTCAACGATAGCTTCAGAGTTTCATCTGGGAGTGGGAATGAGAGAATTTACAAGAATGTAACCGTAATCAGTAAAAGAAGGAACATTAAGATGCAGGGGAAGTCCGCCATTAAGTCCTTGAAGAATCGTAAAAATTCGTCGATGAAAATGGTGACCACTGAGCCAAAAATTACTAGGTCGAATGCCCAGGGCAAGCCACTTGATGACAACCCAACAGTCAGGAGACGTAGGAAACCAGTGGATCCCCTGACTTCGGAAGCCTCAATGAAGGCTAAGTCTCAGTTGCGTAGTAACGATGGAAAGTTCGCTCGTAATCCTGTTAAAAACGATCCAACTTCGTCAGATACTCAGTTAAGCTCATCTAGTCACTCGAGTAGTACACAAATAACAAGGAGTAGTTCAACTCGTTTGGCCACAAGATCCAAGTTTCGGGAAAGAATGAATGAAGGCTTAGTCAGGAGAGTTACTCGCGTCTCTTCTGATGCCGACAAAATGCCAACGCTTGAACCAGTTGACAAATCGACGTCCCCTCAACTGGAATCTGGTAAATCTCCTAATGAGTTGCCTGTTTTGGTGCCAGCTGCTAAAGCGACTGTGAAAGTGCAGAATCCATCACTCAAGCAAACTCATGGCAAGCGGATTGTTGGTATCAAGAAGAGGGGAAAAAGACGTAGATTGACCAAAAATATCGACAAAGCCTCGCCGGAGACTGAAGAAAAAATTGAAGAACCCACAGGGAGTGGTAAACTCATTCAGACGCGAACTAGAAAATCCCAAGAGCTACCGAAACCTGAAAATGACAGTCAGGACGTATCCCAGATTGATACCAGCAAGCAATCAAACTCATCGCCAAGTCTTCCTACCAAAAAAAGCAGATCAAAGTCACTCATTAAAGCTGCCAACTCCAAACGCGCGAGAAATATCCGTAGGAGCTCCCTAGAAGACGTTTTACAATCTACTGTATCTTCTTTCGAAGCCCTCGCCACACCCTCTGTCGAGGTAAAAACTCTAATCGGTAAAATCAAACGAAGCACCAAGCAATCAAATCAAAATCTTACCAAGCCAAAGTCTTTTAAAGGCAAGCGAAGAGTCCGAAAAACTCAAAACAAAATCCGAGATATCAGTTTAACGCGAAAATCCCCTCGAAATTTGGAGAAGAAACCTCTGGCAATTATCGATTCTCTTCCCCCTATGATTCTTGACCCCTCTCACCCCCCTGACCCTCCTGACCCCCCAAAACTCGAAGAAACCCCTAATCAGACAGAATCAAAAGAGCTCTCGGAGTCACCCCTTTCGCTATTTCAAATCGAATCCACTGAATCAGTTAACAAAGCCTCTTCCCTACCCTCCAGTGAACCAACTGTCGCTCCCCCCTGTCCACCATTCCTCCAAATCCCTTTGGAACCAGAGCCCAAACTAGAGACTCCCCAGGAGCTCGAAAAAATTCCCGAAAAAGTGGACAAAGTTACCGAAACCGATGAAAAACCACCGGAAAAAGAGGAGAAAATGTCAGAACTCATCGAAAAGCAATCGTCCCCAATAGAAATGGTGAGCGATCTAGTCAGCTTGAGTTTCGAGCACCTGCAACAGGAATCGAGCAATTCAAACATCGACAGCGGTAAAGAAAATTCATCCGAGACTCCGATCAACATCACAAAATCCAAAATTCCAAAGCCAAAAAAAGTACGTGGATTGAAGCGGGATCGTGGCCAGTCGAAACGTACCCTCAACAATGTTATCGGTATTTTAACCGAGGGAGTGAATATACCAATAGAAGTGCAGCAGAGTGTTGTACTTACGGTGCAAACTTCCATCGAAAGCCTGAATTTACAATCGCACAATAGTAATATCCAGAGCGAGGGTAACAGAGTTGAGTTAGGGGATAATAATGTTGCCAGTGGTACGTCTCACAGTGTTAATGCTAATTCAACCAGTGGCGATACTAGTCTATCGGTGGATTCGGTTAATAGAGAGAATGATGATGGTGATTCGATGGCTATTGAGGGACTTGGGGAAAAATCCAGTCAGGAGGCGAGTACTCCGGTGGGAGAGGTCCACTCCAGTGAATCCCAAATGAAAACTAATAACTCCAGTAGTAATCCACCTGCTGGAACAAATACTGTGGAACAATTTTCAAATGACATAATTCTGGATCTTTCGCGGCGTAAGCAGAATGGGAAGGGCTCGTTTCTCGAGAAAATTGTCTCGAAAATTGCCAAACAGAAGGACGTTTTGCTTGATAATGATGTTGGCTCGTTACTGGATCACGCTGTCGATGAGTTGAGTATAATTCTTGATGACGTAGGCCACAAATCCGACGATAATGAAATCGAGGTTGAACTCAAGTCTCCAAAATCTTCTGAGATTATTCCAAAACCGAACGAATGTAAAATCGATAGTGGAGAGAATGTAGAGGTACCGGAAGAGAAGGATACCAACACCCTTGCAATTACCACTTCTGATAAATCTGAGAACGAGAGCAATAAGACAGATAATAGTGCAGCCGCTGCACCAACGGTGAACAATAGTAGTACGTCGGCTCTGGAATCGATTAATCAGGATGAGACCCGAGAAATTGAACGTTCATCAAAGAAAAGATCCTCCGATACGACTCTTCCAAAGAAGAACAAAAGAAAAACTGTGAACGAGGAAGAAATACCGGACGCCAAGATAGAAGATGAATCGTACCTTTCTGATATTATGAAACTGATAAATAGTACTCCAAAACTTACCTCAACGCCAATTAAATATCCCGATGGTGCCGATGAAACCCGAATATCCAAGCGAAAAATCACCGAAGTAGAAGTGAATAAACCGAGTGAAACGACGAATGGGAATTCATCAGTGGAATCAGATCCTTATGCAACTGTCGGGAGTAAAAAATCCAGGAGAAATCAGAGGGGTGTGAGTTACGAGGATAAATCAATACTTGTGAATAATAGAGGTAGACGCAGTAATAGGAAAAATACGTCAGTTAATAATTCGAGATGTAGAAAAGCTGAGACTAGAGAATATGAAGTTGTCGCAGAAAAGGATAAATTATCAGAGAATAATAGAGTGAATGAGGATGGAATACCCGAGGGCATTGTGATATTGAATAAATCTACGAGAATTGGTGAAACACTTGAGGTGGAAAAATCTGTTCTTGATAATTCCGGGGAGATTCATCCAGAACCTGAACAATCGGAAAATAAACAAGTCAGTGAGATGGAAAGTGTCCCGGAGAAACCAATAAAACCGAAACGTCGAGGTGCCTCGAAGAAGAAATCACTGGCCGATGAACACCTCGATTTATCAGACGACGAGATAAGAACTGGGGAGAGTTTAACAAGTAAAACAGAGGTGGATTTGGAGGATATCGATGGTGATAAGTCTAGAGTCAACACGAGTGATCACTTGGAGGATAAAAGATTGAGTGCAATGAATAATTCGGAGTACTCTTCCCTTTTGCAAGTGATTCCAGATGTTACCACTGATTCACTAGGTGGGAGTACCATTGAAGAGAGGAGAGAGGAGAGATCATCAAAGCGTAGAAATAATCAGGGAAAATTCGAGGGAATGGAGACTCAAGTGCCTGACAAGGTGAATGATGCACCTGTTCAAAGGAGACAGACGTTGAGACGAAAAGCTAAGGAGAATATATTTCTCATTGAGGAACTACTTGACTTTGGGGATGATATTGATAGTCCTTTAGAGCTCGATAGAATCAAGGATGATAAGAAAGATCGTGTGGGGGGTGGGGATGAGAAGGTGGAGGGCATCGATGGGACAGTCGAGGAGGTCATTAAAGACGATGATGTTTCTAAGACTTTGAGGGAAGCCAAGGAAGTGAAGGATGGGAAACAATCAGAGCCTGAGGAAACACCTATTGAGGATGCCTTGAGGATCAGTCAAGAAGTTGCTGTCGAGGCGAATCCTCCAGTTCCACCCAAAGGTGCTGATTCAATTCTGGCTGAAGCTGCTATCGATGATGAAGCTCAGAGTCCTAAAAAGAGGGCCTCAGGAAATTTTGCTGTGGTGCACACGAAATCCGGAGAAATCCTCATCGTCGAGAAGAAGAAGAAATTCACTAAAGAAGCGGCTAGATTTTTCTGTGATGTGTGCACCACTAGTTTCACTCGTAAAAGTTCTCTGAAGAAGCATAATCTGTCACAATCACATATTCTCCAAGTCTCGAAGTGCAGTAACGAACAGGAATCATTTTCCTTCAGTGAAATAGTACCTTCCGGAGTTACCAGTTTGGAGAATTCCGTTCTGCCGAATAAAAATACTAACGACAATGTCTCGTTGGACGAAGTTGAGAGAAAAGACGTAGTACTTGATGTACCTCTGGCTAATTCGACGATCGATACTATCGAGACGGCGGTGGAGCCCCAGCCCTTCAATTCTCAACTCGAGGAGGAACTGTTGGACGAGGAAATTTGTAAGATAACAGAAAACATGACGCACGACGAATACGTTCTTACTGATCACATAAGTCCAGAGGGAGAGGAGGGAGAAGCACTTGAGAAAGGGGTTAATGAGGCGGAGACATTGGAGAGTTTGAAATCAAAACAGAAGGTCAATTTGGCTGATGAACACTTGGAACTCGAGTCACCGCGTCTTACACCTCAACACCCTAAACTCAAAGACCAATTAACATCACGTGCATTAATCGTTGAAGAGAATGCACCCTCGACTGGAATAATTTCATCGGCATTGGTAAATTCCGCGATGTCTCTTGACTTTTCCAACATCGCGGAGAAATTGAAAGGGAAGAAGTTCTTGCAGAGTGAGCCGAACACTTCGGTCATTGAATTCGAAGAGAACAGACCACCTCAAGATCGAATAGCATGTCAAACGGAATTAGAACTCAACCATTCAAAAACCATCGGAGAAATAAAGGTGGATGCCTCTATATTCGATTCTCTCCCTAAAATATCAAAAACCACTCCCGAAAAATGTAGCAAAAAAATTAAAAATCGAAACAGAAGATCAAAGAAAAAATCAATAGCCGAGCTCGTACCTCCAGAGAGTGAGGACGACAGTGACACTGAGAATACAAAGTCCCAGGACAAAAATAAAATAGTGAAAAGTGTCTTTGGTCGTGCCTTCACTGGTGAGAAGTTGGACAAAGTGATGGAAGTTCTCGACGACTGGAACTCCAAGTCAGAGAGCGACTCTTACGACGACAAACCTGATAAAAATAAGACAAGAGAAGTGAAAGACAAAGCTTCAGACAAGACTGACAGACTTCACAAATCGAATAAATCGGATGAGCCCATCATTGAAATTAATTCTAGATGCAGGCAGAGTAAGAAACGCGCTGAGGAGAGAATTTCCCGAGCATTCGAGGAAGAATCCATTCCTTACGATCTTGCGTTTGGTTCACCTGCTAAAGAATCAGGTCTCAAAATTAAATCCATTGAGGCACATCGAGAAATGCTAGATAATAAGGAGCAAAAAGTCAAGTCTAAATTTAAAAAATCCCCAGAATTGGATTATCACGGGGAAAAGAATAAACAGGGGGAAGTAACATCAATCGTAACTTTTTCCTCGACTTTGAAGCGGAAAATTATGAATGAGGAGGCTTCGCTTCCAGATACAAACTCGATGGAATCGATACACAGTCGAGTACCTAGTTGTCCACGCGAGCGTTCTTCAACCCCTGACCTCATTTCCGGCACAACGAGAGATTCTTACAACGAAGGGGAAGACTTCGTTGGAGGAAATGATGATGATGATGATGATGATGAGGAAAAGGAGGACGAGAGGATGTCAGTCCGCGGACGATTGTCGCCATTTTACGCGAGCAATGCACCTGAGAGCTCGATAAACAGTGGAACAATGTCCACCAGTAATCATTTGAACAATGGTGATGGATTTGTGGAAACGAGGAGAGGAAATTCCACAGAGTTCTCAGGTGAAAAAATCGTTATAAGGTCACCGGTGCTGTCCAGTCAGGAGAGCTGTCCAGGGGTTGTGACGATTGCTCCCACTGATGCTATTGAGGACAATGCACTGGATGTGCCTCAGGAGATCGTTGATATGAAGGAGAAGCCTGGGATCCTCCGGCAGGGAAAAGTTCTCAATTTTGATGAGGAACTCTTTGTCGAGTGTTGCTCTCGATTGAAGGCTACTACCGAGAGTGAGTTGCGTGGAGCCAAGAAAATTAAGCTGGACCAGACTGATGATTATCAAAGCAGGGATGAGAACACTCAGCAGTCCTCACAACGCCCTCGACCACTGCCGGATAGGTGGAGGGATGTCGAGAGTCAGAACAGCCTGGGGAGCCTTCTCGAGTCGGTTAATCAGGTTTGTCATGATTTCACCTGCATTTTCTTTTATGGTGGTCTTTTGAGGTAATGTGAAAGGGGCTAGGGGAGGGGGTCGATCTTCAACCGACGAAATTAAAATCATGAAAAACGACACACATCGTGTGAAATGCAGCTTTCCTATTACCTCAAAAATGACAACAAAAAAAAAATAATAAGAGAAATAATTGACGAGTTGAATAGACATGACGAGATGTACATTTTATTCACAGCTGAAAGTAATATGCATGATTTATTATGGAAATTATTGGGTCTAATTAACGCAAACTAACGTCAATTAATCAAATTTTACTTACTAGTGGTAGATAATTATCTTGCTGCGTACGTTATGGAAGAAAAATTGTTTGCAGGAGCAATGACCCAGCTTTGTACAGATTATATCTCTCAGTATGCATGCAAAAGGTAGTCAATTTTAACCGTTTAATTAACACGTATTAACTCACATCAAATTTGGTACATCTGCATCCGTGAATTTCTGTTTATTTTATTTCTACATGGTGTCGACGAGTTGATTAATAATTCGGTGGTCATCGTGATACTAAAAGGTTCGTTGATGATAGTAGAATTATATGAATGTAATTATTGCATTTTTAATGGCTAACTGGAAAATTTAATGTGCATTTGACTCGATGAAAAACATCAAACGTGCGGTAGTTGTAATTCATACGATTAATTAAGATAATTGGTGCGGCTGATTTCATGCATTCACTTATAATTTTGAGAATATTTAGGTATCCTTTGCATTGGAAGTTTTAAAAATGTTTCTTTCGTCTAGTCATGAACAGTTGAAATTTTGATGATTTTAATACTGATTTTTATAATTTTTTCTTCGACGAACAAAACGATAATGTAAATTTTTGCCCAATTTTCACTAATAACTGAATTTACTCGCACAAAGTATAGAATTCCAGAAAGGGCTCTTTGAAGGATTTTTTTTTTGTTAATCTCAGGTACTTGAATATTCGAAGAAATATTGGATTTGTATCCAATGGCATTTGAAGTTATGAAAATCATCAGCGCAATCACTATCCAACAGTATCCACCAAATCAAATCGTCGACGTCATTCGTTTTCCCCCTGATATTTCCCTTCTCACTTTTTCAATTCTTCTAGTTACTTGGTGAGGAAATGTACAACAATCGTAGAGCTGATTCTCACAAGCGTCGAAGCGATCATCGGGAGAGAATAACTCCACCGAGAACACCACAAAATGATTTCATTCGACCCGATAACATCAGTTATGAAGACAGTCTCGATGTTGCTTTCGAGCACAACAACAAGCTTCGCGATAAGATTCAACAGCGGATGAGAGAGAGTGAGGACATGATTGCCACCACCTTTGGTCAAAAAGTAACATCCACCAACGATCGGCAGTACTACAACCCCCAACCGGACAAAGCATTCCCCGAAAAACTAAAACTCCAGGGGGATAACTTCAGTAGTATAAACTACTCGTCGAAGCACATTCCTATCGAGCCTCTGACTATCAAAAATAAGATGAATCCGAGTATGGATGGCTTCTTGGATGAGGCACTCTCGAATCTACTTCATCGTAATGGAAAACACGATCATGAGTGAGTGTAATACCAGTATGATTTTTTCACGGTATTTTTATGGAAAATGATCTAATATAATCCTGTATGGGAATTGAAAATTTCGTATGGGAATTCTTTCAAAAGAAAGGTTTACATGAATTGGAAATTTCTTCCATTCAATTACCCTTTCGGTTATTTTTTTTGAAGAAAATTTTCAATTACTAATTCGGCGTTGTTTTACTTTTTTTTTATTTCTAATTTTTTCTTTAAGTTTGAAACATTGATTTTTTCAAGGGATTTTTTTCAAATATGAATTTTTTATATTTCATAAATTTTCTGACAAATATCTAGTTTGAGAAATAATTCCTCCATCGGGTTTTGACCAAGAATAATTACGTCTGGCTAGCTAGTTCAGGTGATAAAGGTGTCCTTCAGAAATATGAACGTTTAACCTCATTTGCGATGGTGGTAGCATCCATTGGCTTAGGCTTTCGATACAAATAAATAAATGGGCAAGCCTTTATCGCTTTACTACTGTGGTGAAACGATTAATGATGCTCCTGAATTTCCATATGATAATGCCATTGAAATATTCCATGCCGATCCCAAACCAAATTCCCATTAGGAAATCATCGATTCACCCTAATCTTCTTATTTCAGTGGATCAACACCAATGAACGTGCTAGCCGAGTTAGCCTGCGCCCAGGTTCCGACCTCAACGACTCCATCATCTCCGAAACCCCTGGAAAAGTCTCCGAAAAATCCAGCGCGAGCTGATAAGGATCCCCCAAAGAAATCTCGAAATCCCATTCGAGAGCTCTTCGAGCGTAAAAAAGAGTTGAACGATCGGAGGAAGGAGTCCGCTGGCCCTAAACAAAGATCCAAAAAATCCAAGCACCAGAACTTCTCCCTCATCCGGAAAAGCCAATTCGGGATTGGTCTCGCAGAGCGGAAGAAGCGTCACAACGCCTATGAGAAGAAGCCCGAGATTACATGCACAAAACGAGTGAAAGATATCTACGATTTCGATGAGGAAGACAGTGGTGATACTAAATATTCGTCGAAACCCTCATATAGGTCTCACTCTGAAAAACTACCTGATCCAATCGTCAATCACATGAAGCCCAGGGACTCCAAAGACATCAATGTGGTCGACCTGATGTCCAGGACGATAGTAAAGAGCTTGGACAATGGTAAGAGCACAGAACCCTCTGAAAAACAGCTAGAGAGTTCGATAGAACATAAATTCCAGGATAACGACTTGTTCCTACCGAAGACGAAGGGAGCCTTGAAGTCATTTACTCTGGAGGAGAGAAATCAACGAGAGAAAACCAAAGGTCCCATGGACAGCTTCGTGGAGAGAAAGCATCATCGAAGCAGAAGATCGACTGAAGGGTCAGGGAGAACCCCGAAGACCAAACGAAGAAGCAAAAACTCGAAGAAACGATCTCGTAATGCCTGGTACGAGGACGACAGTTCAGATGAGTTTGTGACAGCTTTCAAAGCCGATAACGTTGGAGTTGGCATTACCAAGAGCCAGAGGACGTGCTCCAAGGGAAAGCAGAACCTCTTCGCCGAAATGTCATCGACGTCCTCTGAGAGCGAACGTGAGGATCTCCCAGAGGAGAAACAAGACAAAGAGAGGGATTTGAAAACATTAGAGATTAATGAGTGGATGGATGGAGTCAAGGCTGACACTAGAGACCTGGATGACAGTGAGAAAATCGAATCTGACTCTCCATTGGTCATCGATGAGAAAGAGTCCGATGGTGAGAATAATTCTGGGGATTCCGACGATAATCGATCAGAACGAGGCTTCGAGCTCGATGATTTATACAGAGAGGACAGTTCGGTTGCAAGCTCAGACTCTGAAGAGGCCCCAAATCCTCTTGAGGAGAGTCGTCCAGAAATTGAGAATAAAAAATTCGAGGGAACTGAGCTGATCCCTCTGGACGAGGCACTGGTCCTCCTGGACAATCCCCAGAGCGTGGAAAATAGGGAATCGGTGGAGGAGTTCCACGACAATGTCGAGAAAGAGGAGAATCCTGTTGATTTATCAACAGAAGATCTCCCAGAGAAATTGTCCTCAAATGAAAAACCTAATGAGAAAAACTCTGACAATCTGCCTCTTCATGTCTTCCTCAGCAGGAAGGTGCAGGAGTCGAAGAAAAAGAAGGAGGAAAAACTGAAGAAACTTCAGAAGGAGAAGGAGGAGGAGAAGGAACGTGAGAGAATACGGGAACAGGAGGAGTTGGCAGCTGACGTTGAAAGTGAGAAAGTGAAAGATCAATTTATAGAGTTCCAGTCAACTAGACGTCAGAGGAAGTGTGCCATTGGTAAACAGGGACTTTTGGCTGAGATAAGTAGCTCTGATGAGGAATATTATTATAGAGACAGTGATAGACGTGCCAATGAGAGGACAGACGAAAAATCGCGGCGTCAAAAGAGAGAGTCAAAGGAGAAACGCAAAGAGAGGTATCTGGAGAAAAAGCATGAGTTAATGATTGCTAAAGAGCAAAAGGCCATTGAGGAGGAAATTCTCAGGGAAGTGAAGATGAAGAGGTGTAGCGAGGGAGAGGGGGCCAGGAGTTCTGATGACACTGATCTTCTTCACTCCGTCAATCGTGTGGCTAAAAAGGAAAGAGTCAAAAATTTTGGAGGCCAAGCGAAAAAGGATGAAAATAGAGGGAGAAAAATAGGGAACAGTGATAGTGAAAATAAGGGCAATAAATTAGAGAGAAAGACTAATGGAAATAGAAAGAAGGAGGAGCATCAGAAAGAGTCTTCGAATGGTAGAAATGATAAGGGCAATAAGGTTGATGAGAAAGAGGTCGAGGGAACTGATAATATTAAGGATGGGAAGAAATCGAGGAGATCGAAGCAGGCTAGGAGAAATAAAGCCAATGGGGAGGCACATTCAGCGCGAAGAACCTCCAAGGAACGAAAATCCGCTGGTAGTAAACGTGATACTGATGATGAGGAGTTGAGGACCACCAAATCGTGGAATAAAGTGGATGAGGCTGTTGGGGTAGCTATTGGGAGAAGAAAGAGGGCGGCGGCTAATCAATTGTATTATTGGTCGAGCTCGACTGATGATGATGAGGAGGTGGTTCCTGTGGGGCCTGTTGTCGAGGAGGAGGACGACAGGCAGGAACAGCATGGATGGATTGTGGGAGACTCCCACAAGAAGATGATTACGATGCTTGCTATGGAGAAGCAACTCAAGGAGAAGAGGAGGAGAAGTGAGGATGAGTTTGAGGGTGGCAAAACCAAGAGTAAGAAGCATAGGAACAGTACGTCTTGATATGTATTTCATGATTAGGAAGTTTATTGAGAGTAGTTTTTCCATCATTATGGATTCATGCATCATTCATTGCATAATATTTCTTTATTTTTTTTTTCTTTTGATCTGTAACATTGGATTTACTCATTAGAATTTCTATCCTGGAGGGCCAGGGGTGAATGACTCGATTGATCAGTAGTTTTGAGAACAAATATGGATTTCAGTTTCAGTTGAGGGAATTTACCACCAGGAATATTGAGTTAGGAGAATAATGTCTCTATCGGTTTGGTTAGCAACAATAATTGACGGCTGTTGTGCTTGTTAGGTGATAAAGGTGTCCTTGATGATTGTAAATATTCAACCTCATTTGCGACGTTGGTAGCATCCTCTGGTTTAGGTTTCGAATACGAATCAGTAATATTATTTAGACTGAATATGTAGGATAGATGATAATTGAAAATTTAAATATGAGAGGTGTGGCATCTTTAGACAATACGAGTAAATGTTCTTCACTGATTTGTTTATTTTGCGGGTTTCATTAGGTTTAGGTGTTTCGTTTTTGGTTTTTTTTTCTCTTTGTCAAGAAAAAATCATAACTCATGGTGTGGGGGGCCAGTCGGTTATCCCTCATTCTCTTTTGGTTTATTGTGATTTCAACATATCGCAGTCACATACAGAACAGATCACCGTAAATGTCTAGGGTAATTATAGTAAAATTCATGAATAATGGGATGATAAGATGATAAAAATATTTCATAATTTTTTTTTCTTCTTTTTCACTTTCATTTCTGGGATCTCAGCACTTTCTTAAGGATTTTTCTCATCTGAATAATTGAATATTAGTTACAATTAATGAAAGTAAAATGATATTTGGAGAAATTTAGTTATGACTCTAAAAATGATAAGTGGGATGCACATACAATTAAAATACACAGATTTTTACGTACATAATTGAAATAACGTGTTTAATGATGTAGATGATTGAAATAAATGTGGCGAGATAGACTTTATTGTAAATGTACTGCCATAATCACACGATAGTTGACACGTATGGAGAAAAATAATGAGAAAGCCTATGAGAGATTGAATATTCATCATTCTATAAAAACATAAGGTTAAACAAAATTTTTGGCACAAAGGAACATACATTCGATGTATATAGGATCATATTTTCAGTGTGTCAGAAAAACAGGTATGTTTTGTAACATAAGTAAATGCGGATGGTAAATAAAATTACTGTAAAGAGTATAATCAACTTCTTCTTGTTGGATTTATTTCACATGATCCCGTCAATAAAGCTATAAATATCAATTAGTATAGTTCTGTAATCAAGTAATGGAAGAAGAGACACTTTCACTGATTCCACAGTTTTCAAATGTCTCCCAACATAAACAGTCGAAGAGAAAATACACGAAGATTTTCTCCTAAATCTGTTTCTCTGGAAAGATATTTGTATTTTTTTTTTAATGATTGCACTATTCAAACTATAAAATTACAGGCTGCAATTGGATGAATAAACAAAACGATGAATAACTTTTCAAAATATATATCAGATTAATATATTTTTTCCAATCATTTTTTTTTTGATTTTCATATTTTCCACAACAGTTTAACAATTACAAGATCACGTCTAAAAGTTTATTCATATGTATAATTTCCATCGGTTCTACAACTATCGGTGAATCGCAAAGAGGAGACACAGCGAAAAAAAAAATCTATTGAAATTCCTTGTTACAAGTTCCATAGTAACACCGAGTATAAAAATTTTCTCATCATTAACGACCAACAGTTGTCTAACAAATCGTTGTCATGATTCCGTTTACTTTAGCTTGTGATTTATTTTTGCAGTGTAAGTTAATTGGCTTCAGTCGCTCCTTTGCGTCTACACATCTGTCTATGAGGATATCATTTATTGTTAATGGCTTTTTCTTATTATAAAAACATGGACGTTTTTGGCTCGTTACTGATAATGACTGACTTTCAACGAATTAGTGGAACATTTGCATTTTTCTGGCTTATATTTACGATTACGTGTTGGATAACAATTGTTTATCCATTTTTCCATGACCACTGATTATTAAAACGTTAAAATGGCACATCTATATCCATAAAATGAACGTCTGGAGGAGAAATGATAAAATAGACGAGATAAAACTGCCAGCAGGCACATCCATAAAATGTATCCCTAAAGGAACACTCGAAAATGATAAAAAATAATTCCTAACGTCTTTACTATTTGTCTTCAACACTTTTTCATTGGGTGACATTGGACTTTTCATGAGCACTTATTATTTGGGTTTCTAATTTCTTATACCTAGTAATACTGAAAATTATTCAGCCTCCGCTTTTTACGAAAGCAAACTACCAGGGCGATTGCTTATCTATCATCCGAGTAAATAGAAACATTGACAAATTGGTAAATAAAAAATTCCATCCCTTTTTGGATTATCTATAAAACTACTATACATTGAGTTATTTCTTAATTTCTTATTTCTCTATTTGCATTAAACAATTTGAGCTGTTGATAAAATTAAATTGTTTGGGGAAGTGGTGAAATTGATGGAGATGAGATATTATATTTGGACATATTATATCTATAATATTATTTTGGTAATCTGAGTTTTTTCGAAATCAACGGAATTGACAACATGTTACAGATCTGGTTACAGATCTCAGACCCTTCCGTATTAAATTTCGATATGAAAATCTGAGAAAATCGAAAATTTATGATAATGCGTTATGAAAAAAATGAAAAGTTAAATTCATTCTGTTTCTATCCACCGGAAAAGTTAAAGTAAATTAATCCCTTTATGCATCACCTCTAAAATGCAAACATTTTTTCCTCAAGAATCTCATAGTGTTCTAGCGCACCTTGTACCTTCGCAGTATTAATAACAAAATTATTACTAAAGATTAAAACCATAAATTGAGTGGGAAAAAAAGTTTTGAAATTTATCTATAAATGTTGCGGAGTATTTCTTAAAAAGCTGTTAAACTTCTTTGATCTCGTCAATCGTTTCCCTAGAAAATTACCAAAAATATCTCACCCAAACAATTATGTCACTCCCCTCCTATTGTTTCACGAAAATATTAAAAACGCAAATGTATAAAGGATACTCAGTAGAAAGACTAGCTAACAACCGCAACAATATACGAATTGACGATAATTTGGCTCGGTGAATTTCCTCTTGGCATGACATAGTAATTATTAAACATCTTGGCTTTTTTATTTATCGACGTGGAACGGCATCTGTAACGCAGCGATGTGCCTTGACTGCATCATCATCATGGGTTCGGACATTCTTCTATGCAAATTATGATGATGCACAAGCACTGGACTAGCTAGGATGGATTAACAATTTTAAGTGGCGATTCATCTCTGGCATATGTCCCGATGCAAATCGGGGGGTGGTATTGATTGGTATATGGGCTGAGTGTCCCTGAAGTGGGACCTAATCAGCAGTCCCAAACCCAAGAGGACCACTGGAAGACCCAAGAGAGCACAGATGAGCTCCCCAGTTACACCAGGTGACCAGGATATTGAGGCTACAGAGTAATTCATCAAAAATTAGTCACAATCATTTTTTTCCTCCCCAAAAAAAAAAACGAATTCGATGCCCCAAATAAAAAATTTCCAATATTTCGTGTCAAGGCGATTAATTCTGGCCTCGGAAATTGAAAAATTATAAAATGAGAGTAAAAAATTGACGGTGAGCACTAAAAAATTAAAACTTATTGTAATTCATTTGGAAAAACATTGCTCTTAACAAAAAACAATAGTACAGTAGGTATTAAGGCAATAGCCCACTTGTTCAGTGATCCGTGCTGATCATTACTCATTATTTTTTTTTTATTTGTAGCCAATGATCTATTTTTTATTGATCTCAATTGGCTCATTTTAGATTCAGAAGGCAGCTTGTTCATAATTAGTAATTACCTACGTAATGGTTAATTTGTCTGCAATATTATTGATTATTCAATCATTTCAATAATTTAATAGATGTGTCATTTGCTTTTGCATATAGCGATGCAGTTTCTATTGGGTTATTCAATTCTGGTTATCACTGGTCTTTTATTAATTCGATGCTAATGATGTTAAGGAAGATTTTTAATTGATTTTCGAAAATCTCTGCATTTAGAATTTGATCATTTTTTATGAAACAATTTTTAGAAATTGCTTTCAATATTTTTAATTACAATTGAAATGATGGAAAATAGATTCCATGATATCCCTCAAGTCTATGAATAGTATTATCCAATTTCGTCTCGTAATTAAATGGGAATTGTAATTATAAATGGATCAATCGACCTCTCAAAATGAAATCATTTAATTTTCCATTTATAAATTCAGGAAATTCCAATTTAGTCAGTGATAAAATTTTCCAAGCACTGATATCTCAACTGAGTAATAATAGAATAATCTCGTTAACTCGTGATTTTTGGTGAAATCTGGAAAGACATTGTCAGAAGTGGCTGGTGCCCGAGCTTGGAAAAGTGTCTCTTGACGGTTCTTCCTGAAATACCCTTATCACGAAAAAACGTTAGTGACAAGATAAATGTAAGTGGCATGTCTGACCGGAATGGTCTTACTACTTACAGACTCAGTTAATAGTGGATGAAATTTTTTTAGAGTGAAATTAACAAGATTATAGAATAGAGTGAAGAAAAATCGCTGTGAATTTTTAAACAGCGAAAATTCCCCAACTATTGCGATTATTAGGAACTCAATTAAAATCTCGCTGAAGCATCTTTATATTTTCTTATAAAGTTTGTAACAGTTTGTGGTAAAGATGAAAAAAATGACAAAGCAGTCTTGGTAAATATCTTAAATACAAAGAAAAATAATTTGTGTAAGAGCTTTTTCTGCAAATACAGTTGATTCATAAAAAAACAACTAAAGAAAGTTTTTTCATCGCCTTAGACACTCCCCTAAAATTATTTGACTTCTGTTTTCTCATTTCGTGGAATATTTTCCCAGTAATAATATCCCCCTCATATTCACCTGTATTAATTCCCACATCCATCCTATAAATACTCCACCAAATTCCAGAGAGTGGTAATGAAATAGTGGTGGCAGCAACAGTGAAGACAGCACTCTCGCACATGGATAGAAAATTGACAGCTGAGATAATAAAAATAATGTAAGAAAGGAGAAATATCCATCCATGCCCGGCAACATTTGAGCAAGTGGAGCCACCCCAGAAGTGACACTTAAACCCATGCTGGATCGTCTCTAATAAATCCTTCGGAGGTAATCCCTGTTGAATAATAAAGAAAATGCAGTATGTCACACCTAGTGGAGGTGGATTGCTCAATTGATACAGTGTGAAATATTTAAGAACGAAATTTACCCTGCCAATTCCGGGGAGTGTATCGATCCAGCTGAATCCTATGATGACTAGCAGGGCTAGGGCATGTATCTGGAGTAGACTGTTGAGCACTGGGGGCTTGGGAAAATGTTTTTGCTTTATCGTTGGGTCTGGATCGGTTACGTGGAGTAATCGGCCACCCTCTTCCTCGGATCCTCTTCGTCTGATATCGCGTGATGATACCAATCTTGACACTGTGTAGAGGAAGGAATTCTGCTGAGTTGTGGAGAGTCTGCAGATATTTTGTTGCTATGGAAAAAGAAAAAGTTCATTTTGGTTTGGTTCATTGATTATTTCGTAATATCATCATTTTTTTTCCACCTCGGGAAATTTTTTTCAAACACTACACCGATGAGATCATTGAGAAATTGAAATTTAATTCGTAATTATTCTGAAATTAATCTTTGCAACAAGATTTATGCAAAATAATCAAATGATTACTTATCCATTCATTCATTCAATTATTCTTGAAAAAGAAATTCAAATTTATAAATTCAGAATTTTCATAATGAGCGCTCATTAATATTTCAAGGACACCTTTCATTTTATATTCCATGAAAATTGAATATTCGATTGACATTCCGATGGTTTTTAAATTCAGAAAAATATTTATTAATTTATTGCAGAGCTGACCAATACCTACTAAAGAGATTATTCCACCAATTTCGCTATTTCTCTTATTTTTGGCAATATCCCCATTTCATCGAAGACTCATCGAAGAGCTAAATTAACTTACCACCATTTGTCACGTGACTACAGTACTACAATAGATTATTTGTCAACCAGAGAATTGTATTTACTTCCAGAGAGTTCCATTTCACACGTAATCGCCATCAGAAAAAAAAACATGTCTACTCACTCCAGTCGTAAAATGCAGCTCTAGCAACGTGAAGAACATGGCGAAAAGTGCAAGTGCTGCAACATAGACTAGGGTCCAAATGGCCCTTGCTCCCCAGGGGCCCCTCATTTTGACGGTATGACCAGAGACTTCCCTTCCCCTGCACCGAAATTCATCGCAGAGGCCATAGTCAACACTTATAAACAGTCCCACGATGATTGTTGTACTGGAGAAAATTCGCTGGAGACTCATCACTAAAAGTCAAGCAATTGCCACCATTACCATTTAGTGAGCTTCAATAATTATTGTAATACTCACTTTTACGACAGAAGAAGAAATAGTAAACCAGTGAAAAAACGAGGGTAATCCCTTTGATAGGATCCTGGAGGTGGCAGAGCACTCGATTTTGATCCAGTGAGAGAGTAGCTAAGATACCAGATAACGCGTATATCCCACTTATTTTTGCCAGGCTACATCGTGGAATTTTTATCCTCAAGCTGTTAGGAATGAGGGCAGGTGGTGGAGAGATTCTCTCTACCATAAAACAGATCACACCGAGGATACAGGTCGAGAAGAATGCGATGAACAGGAGACCTGTGGGATGTTTTGTGGTGGTGAATCAAGAGAAAATATTGAAAAAAGGAGTGAAAGTCAACGGAAAAACGGGTAAAAGTGAAAATAATAAAATCAAAAAATGATAAAACGGAATTTCCTGAAATTACCAGAATACGCATTAGCAGCGGAGCTGACACTCTCGAGATACAATGGAAATGTGACAATAGATGATGTAATTGATGCAACGAGAACAGTAAGTGTCGTCAGAAAACCGAATTTTTGCCAACACGGTTGGTCAGTGTCAAACAGCTTATCCATGGATTGATAAGCACCGTATGGTGATTCTTCCGTATCCGTATACTCCTCGATTTCCACGTCACTGACGGCACAGCGCAACTCTTCCTGGTCGTCATCATCCATCATTGCGGTCACCAGTTGTCAGTTCTTGAAACCTTCAGGCAATAATGTTCACGATGGATACTATTAATACATTTTATGGGATAAAATCCATTTCGCTTCCATCAGACAAGAGACAACTCGATTTTAATATTTGTACGTGTGGGATCCGATGTGCGGTAAATTTCAGTTCGGGAGATGTTTTGCACGCTTATTACCCACTCTGACGATCGAATTTGCATAGTCCATGTTTTGCGGAGAGATACATAAACATATTGAGCATTCTCATGTAAATTTTTATGCATTATAAATCGGTGAATAAGTGGAGGATGAATGTGATATTCTATTGAATTCGTCAGGAATTTGTTGTGAGCGCAGTATTAAGGAATTCAAACTTGCTGCGAAAGATTCGGAATGCCGAGCTTTCAATAACAAAAACGATTTTATTCGGAAAATAATGTGACCATACGGATGACTTAATTAATAAATGATTAACGGTTTCAAGAGGTTCTAGAAAAATAGAATTTCGCTATAAATTTCATTTTTTATTTAAACGAGAAAAGCAATCGAATCATCTGGAAACCCTCAATTTCCAATCCAAGTAATACACTATGAATAGAATATTATAAAAATTGAATTTGGTTCTACAAAAAAAATTCAGATAAATATTTGAATGGGCTAAAATAAAAATCTCTTTCATTTAATTCTCTGGAATAAATTTGTACGATAAAAATAATCTATTCTCTCTACCCACCGAGCTTACAACGCGATAAAAAAAAATAAACGATAATAGGATTAATTTAATGACATAAATACGAGAAAAAAGTCAGACCGATGTCACTCTGCTAAATATAGTGGTCCAGGAAAAGAATTGTGAATCAAAAAGTCTAAAATAATTTCCTCTACGTACCCCTGAACTTTAATCTCAAAATCCCAAAAAAATATCTCCGTATATATTATTGAGCATGAAATTCTCATCAGCGCCAGAATAAAGTGGTAAAAAAATACTTGGAAATCGCTGGCAATAAAAAAAAAGTTCTTTCAAAAATATAACGCATAATTCAGCCTCGGAGTGTGCCAATCTAATAATAAAACGGGAGATAAAAAAAACGCGCATTCTTTCCAGAGAATGGATAATTTACCCGCACTCTTCCGGCCTCCAAGCATTACATATTGATTCGCAGCCGGCATTTGAGGTATGCCGATGAGATATATAGGAGTAGCCCCTGTTTGCGTTCCTCCCAATTAATCCCCACATTTCTCCGTTTCCACTCGAAACCACTCGATCAAAAAAAAAAAAAAATTCCGCGTCAAGATCAAGTGACTGATCCCGAAAGAATTTATATAAAAAATATTGACCAAAAATTGAGCATGAAAAAAATGCACTTATCCTAGTGTACCACTTCGTTCTTTAATTTCTGGTGGAGTTAATGCAATTGTTCTTTTTGTTTTTATTATGTTCTGATAAATTTCGCCATGATATGTAGAGGTACAATCGAGAAAAGTGCAAAGAGAGAAATTGGCGGAAAAAATTTCATTACCGCAATAGAAATTCGATAGAAGCGAGAAGAAATAACGCACGTGTACATTATCTGGCTGCACTGGACTGTTAAATATTTCTTGCGACTGCAGTCACAAAGTTATATGAGTTTGAATGAAATTGCAACTAAAAACGATTATTAAAAGCTTCATTTGACGTGAAAATTCAACAAAATGGGAATTTCATGTTAGAACATAATTGATTTTTTAATAGAATGGAAATTCAAAGAATTGACTACGTGAATTTTCCACATTTTCACGATGGTTTTGCATTGCCATATCAAAAACTCAGGTTTGAAAACGCCAGTAATAATTTCCCCTAAATATTAAATCCCTTAAAAATTCAAGCTTTCCTTGAAAAATGAATTCCTATTCAAATTGAATTGAATTTAATTATCAAGATAAATAAAAATGTAGAACACTTTGAATAAGAATTGAATTCGACATTATATAATTAAACGCTCCTATAACCGTCAATCAATCTGAAAATTCAAAAAATGATTAAGAACGCAATTGGAAAAGCCTCCACCAGTGGTCGAAAAGTAATGAGCCAATAAAAAAATGTTTTTCAAAGTTTTCCAGTAAAAACGACGACTAAAAACAAATTCCCTGAAGATTTTCAATCGAGCGATAAAACGATGCACGTGTGCATCTCGAAGATTGCCACCCCCTGGCCGTGGCGCCCATCCCTACGCATATATTGTCTCCCACAGCATCAAAATTATAGCTTTCAAGGGCATCTGTCCAATATCGTACACTAAACGAGGGAAAATAACTTTCAATGGCGCCTCACCGTCGCCACATAATCCATCAAAGTCTATGTAGAAACTGCGTGCTCTATCCTGAGTGTCGAGATACCTCTCAGACTAAAATGACTAAAATTTCCGATTTTCTGGTTACGAAACATTTCCAAGGATTTGTCACGATTTTATTGCCCCATAAAATGTGACAAAATGCAATAAACCCTTTCACATCGTGATGAAACCGTGGGAAATTATCAATTAGATTGAAAAATACAGATAGACAATTACCTTATTTTCTGATGAACCTAACCTGACACCGCCCCAACTGGGATGCTGGCCTCCAGACTCCTCTCCACCGCTGTTCCAATCCCCTGTTCTATCCCCCCAATGCCCGACTATTTCCACGTTCAAACCACTGGCTTTATAATTGACGTATTTACGGTGCAATTAGTTGACGGCCAATTGAAAGAATGTGCTCAATTGAATCAAACGGCGTCACATTTCGCTTCGAGTCCATCGATGCTTCCCCGGGATACTATTATCTTTTTTACTTGTTTCCTGTTTTTTCTCTTCTTTAAAAAAAAAATTTTTCTCTCTTCGCTCGCTGCCACTTGCTGCCCCCTTTTCGTGGAAATAGCGGTGACAATGCGCAGGTCTTGGCGCATGAGTGGTACACACAAGTAACATGCGCGGTTGTTCAAACTGTTGGCAATTATTTGGGGGTTTTTCGGTGAGAGAGATTAATGGATAATTGGGATATGTCAAGATATAGGAATTATATGCGGCAGTTTTATTCGTGTTTTCGTCGAATGCGTTTTGAGACTTATTTTATGTTATTCTGATGATTTTTTGGGGGAAGGTTGGGGTAAAAAGACGTTTTTTTATAGGATTTTGGGGTATTTTATGCTTTATCTCTGAGGGTCGTGAGGATTTGAGGGGGAATTATTCTATTGTATTCTTTGAAATCATAGGGAGAACCATTGATGGAAAATATTTTATGTGTCGCGTTCGGAGAAATAACATTATTAATAAAAAAGTAAGATAGGTGAATCATCTCTTCGGTGAGTTTTTTAATGAAATTTTTGTTAATATTTTGTTTTCCCAGATAATATGGAAAGAAAATTTACTATCTCTCTGAGTCCTGAGATTTATGAAAAAAATAGAGTACTTGAACGAAATAGTCAGGGATTGAAACTCTCATTACCCAATCCATGGATTTTTCATTTAAATTCCATGTCAATATTTAATTACTAATGATTCATTCACAATGTAAAGCCCAGCGATTAAAAACAAAAACAAATTAATGCGTCAATTTACCGCCTTTACCACTTTATTACAGAGTTGATTAATAAAAATTAACTTCGGTATATTATAGAAAGCAATATTTTTAAAAAAAGTTACTGGTCCGAAAAGAATATAATATAACCCCAGTGATCGACTGCATAATTGTTTTAAACAATATCATGAATAAAATATAAAAAAATCACTTAAAATTTTTGTTAATCTTCATTGATTGTCAAATTATTATCGAGATAATTAACTCTCCAGCTGGAGAGAATTTGTTCATTACCCCATAACATATACCCCCGAGAAAAATAGTAGCTTCAAGGTATATATCACATACATCATACATATGTAATGAACTTCTGGGGCTACCAAAATTATTGTAATCATTATATTTATTATTGTATACATTATTATACAACACAACCTGATAGTGCATAGAACTATAAATATCTAAATATATTTTTTTTTCTGGGAGAAAAATGATGATATATATACATATTAATATATGGTGATTTGATGAAGCATTGAATGTGGCTTTTGAGCTGAAGAATAATTGAGGCCGCCCTCCCGCAAAGGCCGTTGATAAGGCAATTTTTTTGAGTAGATGGAGAAGATGTAGGGATTTCCTCGGAGGTGAAGCGAGGAAAAGCGGGTCTCCCCTGAACGATAACTGGTGGCGTCGACCCGACGGCTCGTACACAATCGGTTGGAGCATCCAATGCAAGGAGTCTCCAGTTGGTTCAAGTGAGGCTCAGTTGGCGCGCGGCATTCAAGTGAGACGGCTCGCGCTCACTCCACCACTTCATTGTGGATTATCAATTTTTTTTTACCCCCTCAAGTATTTTCTCACTCCACGCAAGTGCTTATCACTCAAACATTCAACACCCGAGAGCTAAACCACAACTAAATAATAAATAAGAAAATTGAAAAAGTCAACATTGAAAAAATTCAATTGCCCAAACTGACTCAGAACATGACTAACATATAGAGCGCTCACGAGGAGTTCTATTGGTTGTGATTAATGAGATAATTTATCGATTTTTTTTTTTTTGCACGCTGATGTGATCTGCGTCTCTGGGACGCGGGGACTAAATTAATTTGAGCTGGTGAATGAGTTGATATTCAGGTGGGGAAATTTAGTGCTGGACAAACAGGATCGATTGAGTGGCGATGTGAGATGCATCGATGAGGGCCGAAAAACAAATAAGCGGACTTTTGGAGGTTGTTGGACATTAACGAATATCGAGATATCGGAGATTGACATGCGGGTGATTGGACGGAAAATAAGAAACTGAGACGAGGTAAGGAATTTTTTGTATTGATGGTCGATTATTCATGCAATTGGTTTAGCGGAGTTGCCGCAGTTTCCAGTCACTTTCGTGGGAAATTTCTCGAGTTTTCACCCTCTTTCCTGAATTCAGTTAAAGTTTATTGAGTTTATTTTCGGTGCAGACGACTTTTTCAACGAGTCCCTTTCGTCTTTTTATGTCCTTTTGGTCGAGAATATTTTTCATTTCTTGTGTTGTTATCGAGGGGAAACCATTCGTGTGGCAATCGTTGTTTTTTCATGATTATGTTATTGAGTGGTACGTAATTTGTTACTAGTTCTGGAAGTTATTTCGAAGAGGAAAATTCATTGTTTACTGATTGTTTATGAGAAAGGGGTATTCATTTTTTTCTGGAGTTTTTACGAGTGGAAATCTCAACTGTGAAGTTTGACTAAACGCATTAGACTTTTTTTAACTTATGACAGTTCGTAATTTGTTCGGACAAATAGTGGAAACAGAAAGCTTTTAGTTTATAGTTCCATGAGAATGAATAAAATCCAGGAAAAGTTGGGAAATTACATCCAGGAATTTTTAATTCATTAACTATCTCAGTCTTTATTTATTAGATATTGATTTGAATGTCCAGATTTTTTGGGCTTCGGCTGTTTAAACATTTGGGAAAAATCATCTCCCAAAATTAATTTCTGCATTTTTTCTTTCAAATTTTTCTTATGAATTAAACAATTTCTACAATATTTACTTGAAATTCCAAAAACAATTTTTCAATATCCGTTCTTTCGTTGTGTATTTAATTAGCATGCAATAAATTGCAATTTTGAATGCAATTGGCTTAATGTTCCCGACTCGTCGAATGAGTTAAATTCCCAACTTTTGTGGAGGGATTCCTCCTAAATGTATGCATTCTCACGAGAATTAGTTAGTACAACAGTGTTTCACCCCCTGTGTGTCAAACAGATGTAAACATTGAGCATGGACTCCTCGATATTCGCACATACGATTTGGCGACCTAGAGGGCCATGCGATTGCTAGAGCGTTATGCGACTGATCGATTGAATCCATAATCTCGACCTTGCGGTGCACCGAATCGATTTTACGGTACACAGCGACAGTAGTACTGGCGGGGATTTAATCAGACGTGGTTCACTGACTCTATCAATTATTCGTCTTTAAAGATGCCCCACACCCTTCCCCCAAAAATTCACGATTTATCATTTTCCTGGTAAATTTCCGATGAGACTGACGTGAAAAAAGTCATTCAACATTTTTGCGTTTTGTTATTATTTAATTATTTAATAGCTCACGAAGTTTCGTGGTGGTGCGATAATTTCCATGCATTTTTGTCTACAATTCTCTGAATCTTTTTAAAAGTTCGGGAAAAACGCAGGAAAATGGTCGCACCACCTTCAAACTTCGTGACTCATTAAATAATAACAAAATGAAAAAACATTATATTTTTTTACGGCATTCCCATCGATAATTTGTCGGAAACATTTTGAAAAACGTCAATCTTTGCTCGAAGGGTGTCAAAAATCCTTAAAGTATTCTTTTTAAAAAATTATATCTCTACATTCGAAAATTCCACAATTTTCCGTTATTTTCCAAGCCCTTAAAAATAATATTTAATAAAAAATCTACGAAGTATTTTTTTGGAATCGACGAAAATTTCAGTAGCATTTAACATGCAATTGGTAAGACGGAATTTTAAATTAAAATTGTTATTATCAATTATGACTCTTCATGGAAAACCTGAGGTTCATTCAATTTTCGCGATGAACGGAATTTTCCAGTCGTCAAAAAAAAAAATGCTTCAAGTGTAAATTGACCTCAACGATATTAACTGCAGTCAATTGCAATTGCTAATTGAATAATATTTATTAGATTGCACAAGGAGAAAAATAATTACATTAGTCAAGTAAATTTAATTGGGGACGTTAAATAATTCACTAGAAGAATTTATTCTGAGTGTAAATTCTTGATAAATGATTGATCATGATAATAATTAATTTATAGTAGAGACCAATTGAAATATTGAACGTCCCATTGTTTCCTTTGTCTTGAAGAGTTTCAAGGTTTAAAAATGTGTCTGAATAAGCAAGAAGATAATCTACTATGCCCCAGTAGTTTTCAAGGCTTCAGTGGATTATTTCACTGATATCTATTATTGATATTTTCCAAATAATCGATAAATTATATTCATATTATTTAACATTATGTAGTCAATTCGTTTGCAATTATAGATTTATTTTTCATTACGAAACTCAGAATTTAGTTTGAGATAAATAAAACAGGGAATAACCGAATGACTAATGCGAACTAGAACTATTCAAACTCCAGTCCAACTCGTCATATATTTATTTAAATCGCATCTTCAGCAAGATCCATCAAAATTTCTAACAATAATAACCAACGAAATTTGCATCTTTATTACTTTATTCATTGTGCAAAACGAGAATAGATACATGACCCTGTGACGCGAGGCTTTCGAGCTTTTGAATTAACAAGCCTGACGAAAATACATGAAATTTTATTCCGAGCTTCCATTGTATCCAATCAATGGAAATCAAGATGGAAATCCAAGTGAAGCCTACGACTCCCAAATGGGATTTTTCTTCTTTGCTCTTTGGAGAATGGAAATGAAAAAAAATCAAACCGGATGGTGGAAAATAGAGAGCGGAAAAAAATGGGTTGGGGGAGACACTGAATTGGAGGGTGTGTTTGTTGGCACAGACTTCCGGTGTATTTTCTTTCACCGAATGTATCACTGTCCTTCTTATTTGTCGGGCTCACCTTGAACTCGTCATCCGGATTGATGATTTCGTCGGTTAGGTTTTTTAATCGTAACGATTGATCGGCAGATCTCTCGTCACGTCATTTCCTGAAAGGAGTGTGTATTGCACGAAGAAAATACTTCTGATTAGGAAAATTAAATTTATTATTGGACTTTTATCCTCATTATAGTCATGATTTCTATGATTTTTATCTAGGAATTTATCTAGGAATTTATCTAGGAATTCATTGTTTCAATTGTACATTAACATTAATATTTTTAAAATCATTCTTGAATTATTAATGGAAAAACTTAAAAATTCTTTCAACCTTTCATTTTTTTGATAATTCTTTTTTCTGGACAATTATCAACTGGATTGACATGAAAAAATATACAGTAGATAAGGGAATTTTACTCTACCGTTTTTGCGTTTTGTCATTTCATGGTGCGACTATTCTCATTTTGATGAATTTGTGTGGAAAGGCGGAAAATTCTCAATTTTTCTCATAATTCTTCAGTTATAAGCGCCCACACGCCTGAAACTTTCATCGCGCCTTATTGATACGGGGGGCTGAATGACAGATTGCGATTTTCACTTGGAAAAATGAAAGAAAGTGGGAGAAGTTAACTTATGGCTCCCACTGCGATCTGCTTTTTTGATGTTGCTCCGAGGGAGGATAGCACTCAAAGATTCGTGGATTTTTTATCTTCCACAGCTGAAAGACAAATACTGAGTGATATGGGGTGTGCATGCGTTCAGTGTGACGGGGGTTGATTTATTTTATGGAGGGATGGTGAATTTTCATCACCCATTTTTGAGTAGCAGAATGATTTTAATGGCCAACTGTATTTATACTGCCGAAACGGTTTATTCTGTTGGCCGTACCATATTTGATGCCAATGTACTTTCAATAAAATCAAATATTGCAGCAGACTGGATGTACTTGACACTCGATGAATCTGAATCTTTTTAAATCGCATAACTTAACAAATTGTACAATTAATCATTTTTTTTGTAATATCTCGTACAATTTTCCCAGATTTTTATAATCGAAAATTCAGAATTCTGAAAAAAAAAATTACCCCTCTCCATATAATAAAAATTCACATTAAATTGAAATTGAAATATATTCTAATTTTGATTTTCATTATTCATATTATATGAAAAAATAGAAGAAAACTGCAAAAAAAAAAGAAATGAATAATTCTTAATAAAATAAAGATTGGAAAAGATGCAGCTATGAATCGATACTTAAAATGGAGTTTTTTAGTAGAATTTAGTAGACTTTGGTCTTAATTAAAAAATCAATTTATCACCGAAAATGCGGAATTTCTACTGGGAAAAGTGGCTAACAAAAAAAAAAGTTTGTTGACACATAAACTTGCTTAGTAGACACTGAAAGCCTAGAGTATAAACGAGCCACACCGTCGCAATTAATCATCGATAACGTCTCCGTAGCCCCCTCATTAGTCCCATAATTCACAATTTCCCGGTTAAAAATAGTCAATTATAAATCGATTGAGAGGATCTTTTCTGCCCACAGTGAGTTGTAAAAACACTTGGTCTGCCTTTCTTCGTGTTACCGTCCTGTCAATAACACTGTAACCCTTGCATAATTACCTGGCTGGAGACCTTCGGAGGACAGTAATAATTTGTCATTGAAATTTAATCCAGTAGAAGGTGAGTGGGTGGGTTATGTACACAATTATCAGAATGAGTCCGGAATATCCGAAAACCCGTTGTCCCATTGGCAGTTCTATCTAAGCTGCGTTAAGTCTCCAAGCTTCTATTCCCTTTTGCCTCGAAACCAAGGGGATTAGTTGAGAATACCTCGGTCTTCAGTCCAGTGGCTTCAAACATCCACCAAATTCGTTGGTATCATAATTTCTCGTGGCTTAAAGATGTTCGGGAGGTTTTATCTCGACCATGACACACTTTTCGGTTCTATTGTCGCACTGTTAGGAAATTGTCCTTGAAATTTCCAGCAGAAAAATTCGAAGTTTATCAGGAATTTATATGGAATTTAGATTATCCTTTTTAATGACTATTGAGTAGTTTGACATGAGTTTTTATTATATGTTGGTAGTAAAAAAATAGTTCTACTTGGGAGTAGATTGAGTGATTTAATAGACTGCGAAATTTCTTGAAATTCCAATCGCGAATCACGAGAAATTTTAATTATACTAAATTTTTCGTTTATTTTGGAAATTCAGAAATCAGAAATCATCAGAAATCATCAGAAAT